GCACATTTTTACTTAAGTGCATCTCTCAAGAGCTTTAAGGAGCAATCATTTATAATAACATTAATATGCCGTGAAAGGATATGTGGAAGTCTGCATCGTGTAGAAACATAGGGTGGAAATGAAATAGAATACATATAATAAATAGGCTTATTTTGAACTGGAATGTTGATGATAAATATGAGCAGCCCACTGTAACTGCTTTTAGCAAGTGTTTTTTTTGTGGTGCAAAAAACTCCTTTACATTCCTGGGTATTATTATTATCCTGCTATTACCATGTTGGCCAACATTTTACTATAAATCCTTCTATTTAGCATGTTAATAGTTTATTATGCACTTATTTGAAAGCAGTCTTATAGTTTAGTTAGTTTTCAACAGTTATGACTCCTCATATGCAATATCTGTAAGTGTAATGCAACACATAATAAATAACAATTAAACACATGTAATGTTTTATTAATTTTATTAATGTCTCCGCGGTAGAAGTTATCCATCGACAGCTACTTCACATCAATACTTACTTGAAAGTCCGTTACAACTACGTGAGCAGTAAAATCAAATCAAATGTCTCTCATTGGTCAATCTCATAAACAAGCCTCCCAAAAAATGATCTTGTACATCCAGTACAAAAGATGATTTGTCTGCGTTAGAATATCACTGGCTTCCAAATAAGCATCTTAACAAGGATATCTTTCAATATTTCTCCATCAAGTCTCCACCTGCACACAACAGTAACGTTTTGCTATGCAACACATACCAATCCACGGAGCCAGTCTACCCCCCACCCCACCCGGCCCTCCCGGCTCTGTTTACATTGTGCAGACAGGGTATCTAGAAGTGTTTGGCTCAGCTCTGTGCTCACTGGGAACTATCAGACGATTCAAATTTTAAACTATTTTGATATCAGCTCTGTGGAGAGTTGGCGTTTCCCTGAGAACACGACCGGCCTCTGGGCTCTGGGGCCCGTTGCACCGCCAGAAAGAATAAACAGAGGGAGGGGAGGAGAGAGGCGGGGAAAGACAAGAGAGGACGGTGAGAGAGGGAGAGTGAGAGAGAGAGAGAGAGAGAGAGAGAGAGAGAGAGAGAGAGAGAGAGAGAGCATGTGTGTCCCCAAGCAAAAACAAATAAGTAAAAAGAAAAAAGTGTAATCACCCTCTCTGCTGCAGAAAATCTCACGGTTGTGAGGATGAAAGCAGCGTAATCCGACCGTTTAGGATGAGGCACCGAAATGACAAATTCATTCAAATTACAATTTCAAAGACCGCATTTGACGAGGTGGAAATATTTGTACTGTATGTGCGGCCGTGAGCACCGGGGTCAAGACCTTATTCCGAGTACTTGCTTCTTATGTTGAGGTCAAAGGTGCCGGAATTAGAGGACGGGACCTTCAGCCTGCGTTAATTAGTTGAGTTTCACCCTGTTTAAGCAGCGCCTGAAGCTCTGTGTGTGTGTGTGTGTGTGTGTGTGTGTGTGTGTGTGAGAGTGAGTGTCAGTTTGTGTATTTTAGTCTGGTGTTGCTATTTTTACTATTCGTAAAAGACGGTAAAACTTAATCCTGCATTGTTACACTATGAATGTAATACAATGTATGAAATAAAATAAAACTTAATATTCCTTTAACAACTCTGCCATGAACCTTTGTACATGTACATTTAGTACATGTTAGCTGGAATATGTAGCGGTGCATGTCTTTAGATAAATTGCTGTGTGTATGATGCGATATCTATTTTTGATGTCTTTAGAGATCTTTTACAAGAAAAAGTATGGATCCCCATAATAGTCAATAGCCAGTAGTGTAGACTTGCAGCATTGTGTATTTCTTAAGAACTTGCCTTAACTTGCCTCATGTTGCCTCTATCAAATCTGACACACACACGCTGCTAATTGCTGGTCAGTTGGACGACACACGTGATTTACTGCGTGCTGCGTGATTTACAGTAGTTGCTATAATCTCCGGTGACAGTATTCCTAACGCAAGAACTTAAACCCCCCTGTAGCCAATCAACAGGCCCACCTTCCACGCTTCAGGTGCGATGGCCCTTATAGCCAAAAGGTGTTTATCCAGTGTTTAGTCACTATTCCCCTCAGTATGACCCCCCCCAAAAGGGTAAAGGGCGGAACACCCCCCCCCCCCTCCCAGCCGGACCTCAGCATAAAATAATTGATCACATGTGAGAGTAACTGGCACGCGTTTCCTCTTGTTTTCCTTGAGAGGTGATATCATGTGGTCAGGCCGCTTGTCAGAGATAGCGTGATTGCTTCCGGTGCGGAACAAAAGAAAAGAAAAGAAAAGAAAGGGAGACGTGTTTAAGCGGCGAATGTGGATCGCAGTGAAGCGCGGCGGCGGATTCAGATCACACATCCAATAATTTGGCGTCAACGATCCAAGAACTGCCCCCCCCCCCCGGATGTGTTTATGTTCTTTTGTTACATCAGCATCTAAAGTTACACCATTCAGCTTACAATTTCTGGTGCATTGGTGCATTTTGTGGTTTTGTTTTCCTGAAACAGAAAAGGTAGGTAAAATGAATTTCTCAATTTTCTATATTTCAGATTATTTTAAAGCACTTTTAGTTGTTATATTTTTATAATCTGGTCTGTCCTATAACATGTATTTTTGCATTAGCCCCTGTACTGGACATTTCTTCTACCTTAAATGTTGCAAATTAATAAATCAAAAATTGATTTGCACTTTTTAAACTGTAGTTAGTCTGTTTAAACCCTTAATAAGTTCTTTGTAAAGTGCCAACAGAAAGTGTGTGTGTGTGTGTTTGGTAAACTTTTTCTCTCTTTGAAACTGTGCTTATTTGTGATCATTCACAGTGTTTATCTCATGTAACAGAAAACTACTCCAAACGTGATGTGTGTGAGTGTGTGTTTGAAGTGTGCCCATGCTGCAATTGTGTGTTTGTGTGTTTGTGTTCTATATGTTAGATTTACCTAAACTGCTGCTCTCTCTTTTTCCTGCTTCATTTTGACAAATTTGCCTTTCCAGGAAGCCTCTGAGGTCAGCGCAACATCTGTTGATACTTAGGTCCAAGATGCAGTCATGAACACTTGATAACATGAACACACACACACACACACACACACACACACACACACACATACACACGTGCACAATGCAGGAGCTGCATCGTATGAGTTGCTGCAGAGCTGAGACCAATCAGACATGAAGGGGTGTTTAAAGTTCCCAAAGTGACTTTGGAGAGGAGTCTAATTCTAGACCTCCAGATTTAAGTCCAGGTCTAGACCTCCAGATTCAACGGGGAGGCTAAGCGGGTGGATGTAAAGGAAATGGATTTTCCTCCTCAAGGGTCAAAACTAATTTTGACATTATAAACAACTGGCTAATTAAATTATACAATCAGAAGCTTAAGTTCAGACTTCCAGGTGTTCTCTTTACATTGTAAAGTTTCTCTCTGTAAGTATATGTGCATGCACACTTTGCGTACTGTATATGTGCTTCCTTTATATGAGATTACTGACATGCAGACAGTTGTTCATTTCCTCAAAGCTCCAGCTGTAATGACCAGAACACCTGGAGTTACAGTTACATCGGCTGCATCGGTCTGGCCAAAGCCTTCCACCGCATCAGCCCTTCACCCTCAAATATTTCACCCTGTCAGTTTTCATTCCCTTTCATTTAAGTCTGTTCGCCCAAAACCACATTCATGACCAAACATGGCCTGATCCCATCAAAGGGAGGCTTCCGAATAGTGAAAACCCTCTGATACTTCAGTGGAAGAGAAGAAGAAGAAGAAGAAGAAGAAGAAGGTTTCTGGAAGGGGATCGAGGGAAGCCAGACATTCAGAGGTGAACTGGGAGGAAAAGGGGTTTCTGTTCTTGGTGTGTTCCACAGCCGCAGAGACTGTGCATTCACAGCCAAGTCCCCGAGCAGAACCCGGAGCCACAGAATTGCAGACCTCTGTCTCGGTATGCAGAGCGCTCTGGATTCCAGTTGGACCTCATGTTTGTTTTTTCACATTCGGGCCATGAAGAGAAGCGAAGATGAAAAACATACACGATGAGATTAACTCATTTTACTCGATGATTCCACACAAACAGAATACATTGCACCGTTCATCACCTGCGGACATTTGGTCTGAAACACTTTATGAATTATGAACTCTCATGTATTTCATTTAAAAAAAGGCTTGACATTAAGTGCTCGCTGTCTTATTTTCTATCTTATCTAAAGTTGTGCATTAAACATCATCAAATATCAATATATCCATCATTACTTAAATACTCGCACAATTTTAAACGTGGCTCCATTATTCTATTGTAAATAACATTACTACTACATTCCCTTCCACATATCACAACACTTTTCTTATTGTCTTTATTGTTTGGGACAGTGGCAAAAACAAATGAAATGGAGCCAACGCTGTGGGAATTACTGGCCGGATCTTTTTTTTTTTGTAATGGGCTCATATTGTCATTTTTGACACTTCAGGATTTGTATGTTTGTCGGTCACCTGGCTCTTGGCGATGAAATGAACAAACACCCTAAAGGTCAAACTGCCGAGTCCCACCGGCTGCCGGGGGTTCGATGCCGGGCCTCTTTGTTGCTGCTGTTTGCTGCGCTGAGCTGAACCGCACAGGGATGAGATGTTAAGATGTTAAGGTTCAGCCCCACAGGGGGGGTCGGGGGGTCGGGGGATGGACTGTGTGCGGCCCGCCGTGTTAACAGGGCGGACCTGTTAGAGGAGCGAGGACCACCCCAAACGCCGCTTTCCTCCATAAAACTCAACCAGATGTGTAATGAAGCCCGTGCATGCGTGAGGAAGGTGTGTGCATGTGTGAGCGTAATCATTCTCACCCGTGCTGATGCACCCCCCCCCCCCCCCCCCCCTGTGTTGGGTTAATGGAGCAACCTCCCGTGATACCCTATTAGGTTTGACCGAGTTTCTGCCCTTCTCCATGTGCCCCCCCCCCCAACCCCACCCCACCTTTTGGCCCCTCCCTGCAACAATTCCAATAACCACCTATCTCTGTCTTTTTTTTTTTTTGTCCTGTCCAACAATTTGTTTTTCTACTTGCAGCGTTTTGGGATCGTTTCCCCCTCAGGGCTTACATGCCGAATTCATTTTCATATTCCCTTTCCATAATTCCCCTTTCTCACAAAATCCTCCTCCTTAACTGACAGCTCTCCACCCCTGCTTCACCTCCTGTGCACCACCCCCCTACCCCCCCCTCATCCCTCATCCCTACCTTACAGCTGTTGTTTTGGATTAGTCAAATAGCTCCTGTCAGATCCAGTGATCCCTCTCCTCTGCCACCCACAGAGCAGCACTCCACTCACCCGCGCTCTCTGTCTCCACCTCTGCGTCTCCCCTGTGCACGGGCACACAAGCCATATTGACGTCTTTGACAGGTGCGTGTCAAGGTGTCTCTGTGGGCGGGGCCGGGAGGTCCCCGTGGTCTCGGAGATCTCCACGGGCTTTGTTTCTTTTCAGGTCCAAGAAGGCGCGACGGTGCTGGCAAGCCGCTCGCACCTCTCAGCCAAAAGAAAAAAAAAAAATTGTTGTTGTAAATCAGACAAGGAGGGCCATAAGTTTCAGTACCCTGGAATTCACCGTACCTTTCAACTGCTCCTCTCTTCCCCTTCTTCTTCGTCTTCTTCTTTTTCTTCTGGGGTCTCAAGGAGTCTTTATTATTTTTGGTAAATTCTGACAGCTGCAGGTCCGGTCATCCATGCTGGGCGAGACAGACTGACACTGAAAAGGGTTTTGACACGATGATGGCAAAGGTAATAGTGTTATTTCAGTCATTTGGAGAAAGGGAGTTTCTGTGTGTTTTGCCTCCTGTGTGTGTGTGTGTGTGTGTGTGTGTGTGTGTGTGTGAGTGACAGAAGAGAGGGTCCAGTGCAGTAGCACAGCAAAGATATGCATCGAAGCCGAATTGGCAGAGGTGTTACGTATGATAACAACAATAAGGCATAACGAATCAATGATGCTGTTGCAGTGATTACAGTGTAGAGTTTCAAGGATACAGGATCAGGGTGTGGTGCAAAGACAGCAAAGGATCGGCCGTCACTGCTGTAAATGATCGGCAGAAATCTGTCTCCTTATGGCCACATAAGATCTAAATGATCTGCGGTACATTGGGGGATTTTTTTAATGTTTTAGTTGGAAACAAGATCAAGCAAACAAACATGTACATAAACGTTCACAGTTAGTTTGTTAGCATGGTAGGAAAACGAAGATGAGGCTGAAGGAATACTAATAAACCAAAGCATCGGATAGATATCTTAATTATAGATGAATCAAGTGATTATAAATAGGAATCGTGTTTGCAAAACATGTGTCAATTTTAAGGTGGAGCTAAAGGAAAGAAGGGGCACAATAACTGAATGCTGAAATGACAAAAATAAAAGCTAGCCAGGCCCAAATACTTAAAACCGTCAATAATATTGTTTTAATTAGACTACTGTCTGCTTTGTTTCAGCCTTCACGTATAAATCACTGCAGCTGTCGGCGCATTCTGACCATATAAATAATGTATCAATCACACACAAACACTTCTACACACAGAGATTGATGTGGTGGCTTTAATCAGTTAAATAGCTCCTAGCTAATTAAAAGTATTTTTATACAGTTAGCAGACGTCATTATGAAGCCATCAGGGCTGATTGATGAGTGTGTGTGTGTTTGTGTGTGTGTGTGTGAGAGAGAGAAAGACATTAATGAGCTATGTAAGATATCAATTGACATCCAAGGTTTCCTTTTGAATGATCTTCAAAAAAATAAATATTCAACCACAAGAAGTTATTCAGGTTTTAAACAAAAAATGATTATTTTCCTTAATACATGTTTAAATGCATGTGTAAGTACAGCCTCACCTTAGATTCAACAGCTGGTCAAACTCTGTGTCAGTAAAGATCTGAGCTTTTTGGGAAACAACATCGTGCCTCCTCCTCTTTTTCCTCTTCCTCTTCCTCTTCCTCTCGGCCTCGTCTCTCCATCCTGGTGTTTTCTCTCCACCTGCCCCCTCTTGCCCTGCGTACTCCTTCAGCTCAGGACAAGATCCCACCTCCTTCTCCACTCGCAGGCTTCCTCTGCAACACAATGGCAGGGCAAAGGAGCTGTGTGTGTGTGCAGAGAAGTGTGTGTGTGTTTATTTGCAAACGCACAAACGTGTGTGGGAGTAATATTAGTCATTAGCAGCATCTGCATGCATATTATTTCCTTTTGATTTCTGCACATGTTCGTAGGTTTTGTGCATTCAGTAATCGTGCGTGCCGCGTTTCAGATGATGTATATTATTGTCTGTTGGTGTAGATTTATGATGCAGGAAACAGCGACTATGTCACTGTAAAACAATAGAAGATTCACAGCACACACACGCACACGCTTTTGGCACTCACTTCTCCTGAAACCCCTTCGCTTCTGCCACCAGGAACTCCCTTCCTCCCTTCCCACACACACACACACACACACACACACACACACACACACACACACACACACACACACACACACACACACACACACACACAGACATATACACACATTGTGAGCGATACATCCCCTGGGGCTCGCATGGTGATCAAGATGGAGCTTAACAGGTCTGCACTCTCTTTTAAAAAGCAGGTAAAGTAATGTGAAATAAAGCATATGGGACTGAATTAAAGTGAGAATTCCTGTACGTCCATATTTGAGCCCTCACATAATCTTGGCAAATTATGGCTCATACAGCCGCGATGTGTCCTCTTCTTCCCTGATAGACAATGTAATGTGCAGACACACGCTGCATGTCGGACTGGAAACAACCACGTTATTGTTGCAAAAGAAACGACTGTGGCCGGTTCTTCACGAGACAATAGCCTTGAGTGTCAGTGTTCACTTATAGAGGAATAATAAGCTTTCTTACATGTAACCCTGCCCCCCCTTCCCCCCCCCTGTGTTTCGCCGACGGCCGTGTTGAGACGACCAGACATGTCCCAGTCCACCGTCCCCCCCCCCCTGCGAATCACAGACCCTGAGATAAAGGTGATATAAAATACAGGAGATTATGGTTGTTTCATTGAGCCTTTCCCCCTATTCTCTCTCACAATGCAGTAACAGCCAATCACCTGCATAACACAGCCTAAATACAGGCTTTAAGACTTGTTACACCACTACCCGCAGCCTTGTAATTGAAACTTTTCAATTCAGTTTTTTTTCTTCTTTTTTTTCAAATGCTTTGGCTGCCGAGGAGAGATTGGCAGCTCTGAGGGGCCGGCAGATGAAGCGGCTGGCGCGCTAATGAATAGAACGCTGATTGCAGGATCCCCAAGATGCAAATTACCGTGGCTGCCACCCCTGACGACCGGCAATTACCGGGCCGCCGCGGCGGACGCCTCGTGCATATTCATCGTACCCGCTGGGCATATTGATCAACAACTTACTTTGAGCAAGAGGCACTGAGATATATCACGTCACTCAGTCAGTGCGAAAAAATGTATATATTTTTCATTTTACTGTTGTTAAATGTGACACAGTAACATCCAGCAGGACGAGGCCTTTGACTGTTTATTTGAATCAAGGTTCAGGCTATTAGCTAACATGTCACATTCAAGAAGAAGTGACAAAACATGTCATTGATTTGAAAATATCTTTTACTTTCCTTTTTAATTTTCTAATTAGCTGCACTCAAAGTTCACAGCCACGGATGTTGCCACTCGGCTTTGAGCTTTGTCTTGAATTGTGACAGACTTTTCTTCTCTTTCATTCACAGTGGACTGAGTCATTTAAAAAAAAAAAATCAAAATTCCCCTCAGACATGACCGTTAAAGATTAGTTCAGTTTCATTTAGTTCTAACACGAGTCAAAGGGCTTTGTAAATTAGAATTATGTCATTAAACTAATTGCAGTTCATTACTCCGATGTAACAATGACAGGCTTTTTTCATGCTGTTAATAAGCATTGAACCCTTAGCACGCCGGTTTTAGTTTAATTTGTGTCTGTTTAACTCATATTTTGGGGACTGTACTTCTTAATGGAGTCATTCCTGAAAACACAAGAATTAAACACACACACACACACACACACCCAAACGCACACAAACGCACACACTCACACACTGCAGCGCATGCTTCAGAACATGGAATATGAATATGAAAGGGCTTCTTTCAACAACAACGGAAAAACAAGAGTGCTGCCAGCGGTTAATGGGACCAAATGAAGGAAAGATGAGCAACATCAGATTTTGAGCTCTCTCCCTCAAAACAAACATCCAATGATCACATTAGAGATGGATCACAGAGCTGTGTCATTTTGACTTATGTGTTTTGTTTACTGCCCCAGCCTCTGTACGTTGAAAAAAAAAATATATAAAACAAAAGATTTGAGATTACAAAAAAGCATTTTTTTCTGGATGCTCCGTCTCATTTAATTGAGACCAAAAATAATGAATACAAGAAAATTGAGCATTCTTTTAACTTAAGTTGTCAACATTTATTAAAGGACGTGTGTAATTTAATGTAATTGAATGTAATTCACATGATCGTAGTCCCTGATCATCCAGTAAGATTGAGTATTTTTTAACAACAGTGTGAGTCTTAAATCTCCTGAAAATTTGGTGTGAGTCTTATATTAAGTCCAAGCCTAAAAAAAAGATAGACATCAGATAAAAAATATTGCGTTATCCTGATTGGTGCACAGAAACCTAACTTAAAACTTAAAAAAGTTAAAAACGCACAATATTGTTTCTACTTTGGCCAAAAGTTGTAGGTCCATGTAGGACCCCATCACTTGTAGAAAGAAGGGAAAAGGGCCTTTAAATTTAGATGCACGACCCCTGTAAAGTCACTGCCACAGTTTAAGCTAACTATGAATAACCTCCGTCAGTTGATGTTGCACAAATGACCATTTCAAATGAATGAATCCACAAAAGCAGGTAGAAAAGGTGCTTTTGGGGGCGGCTGCTTTCAGTCGGTAATCCAGCTGTATATGGTGAGCTTGAAACTGGAGCCTCACAGGGTTTGTTGCTCCGGGGTGCAACCGGGCCCGACTCCAAACTGCTACAGCAGCCCAGCTGTCAACAGGACTAGAGCTTCACCACAAAACAGCTCCCAATGGCGCTGCCCCCACCACCCCCACCCCCTCTGTGCTGCTACTTCCCCTGGGCCGTGTACAGGATCAGAGCGTGCTGTTAGGGAAGTTTTCCTCTCATATAAAGATAAACACACACACACACACGTCTTTCCCTTTCAAACGTTTCACACACTCATCAGCTCTGCATATAGATCCATATCATAAATAATACCAACCCCTCTGATAACAATCTCCACACACATACTGAGCGGTCTGACGTGTTTCCGTCACACAAAAGCAACCTGCAGTCAGGCAGCGGGGGGATGGGGGGTTTGGACTCTAATGTAGGAAGAGGGGGGGGTGAAAGTATAGTTCAAGCAAAGGAAAATAAGAAAGAGCGAGTGCAGGTGCTGACCTGCTGAGCTGCTCACATATGTTGTTATCGGTGTGTAATTTCTTCGCTGCGGATTCTTATCTCCTTATCAGAGAACGGCTGGTGTGCTGACGTCCGCCCATCAAACGGGGACTCCGGGCCAAAACTGCATCAATCATGGTCTGCTTTGAGTTCCTAAAATTGCTGTAATACTGAATCTACTTCCAATTATTAGCCTCTATTTAAATTTCTGCTGGGAAACTGTGAGAAACAAAGTGGAGGACGAAACTGCAGAAATATTGGGGGGGAGGGGGGCGGCAGACTTTACTGCCTCAAAGAATCCAGCCAGAATTTCTGCAAATATACTTATGCAAAATGGAAAAGTTGACTGGAAGAAATGTACAAAATCCGTCTTGTCCAACATGCATCATTGAAGGCCTCAAAGCGGTCTGAAGAAGTCGGGTAGGTCAGCCAAAGGACAATCTTCATGATATGAAATCATTCTCTGTGGTCTGCCGTGATGAAATATGAATCATTGCAAGCTACACCTGTAGATCAAAGCCTGAATATCCCAAAAGGGTTTATTAGCCGACAGCAGTCAATTGATAAAAATATCATTGACATTTTGGAGTCACGTTATTCGTTGAGTATCATTGATTTTTGCTGGCACGACACACCAAAAAAACTGCTGCATTATTTCCTGGGGATCTGCCGGCTATCTTTCAGACATATTTTCTGGACCCGCAGAACCTCTGATGAGGACAGTGATGCCGCAGACGAAGAGCGAATGCACAGTGGAAAGTCGCGTCGTGGACCGACTCTTTCTCAGCTGCTCGCTCATCTGTGTCTGTTTGTTTACCTCCGTCAGCCAGCCGACAGGAATGCGAGTGACTGCTGCCAGCAGCAGAAGTGTAGCAGGAAGCAATTGCTTATAGGAGCGAAGCGCCTGCTGAGAAGCGTCACTCATGTTCGTGGCCACGGCAGCAAAAGGATGTTGCACAGAATGATGCTGAAGCGATCTCAGGTTGTCAGGAAAAAAAAGAGAAAGCTTTCACATTCAAAGCTGGCTCTCACGTTTGCATTGGTGCTTTGTTATGATTCTGTTGTCTCAGCAACTTTCACTTCAATTTCCTCCCTGAACTAATAAAATTAAATCACAAGTGGATTTTTTTTTCAGTCGTGCCGATATTAAAGTGAATTTTCATCGTCCAAATAAAGCACATTATTTTGTCGCTGTGAAAGTAGTGAGCTGTCTTTGGTACCTCAGTGTTGTCTCTGTCCACCCTGCTGGTGCTCGCGGTTTTACTGCTGCGGTCACATGATCGCTTGTGACAGGGGTTCCGAGGGGTCAAGTGGGGTCATGAGTAGTATCCTGACATCCTGCCAGTCTAATCACCTGTTTATTTCTTTAACAACCAAACTCTGCCCGGCTGAAGGAGGGAGAGCGAGAGGAGGGAAGAAGGAGAGAGTGAGAAAGTGACAGTAAGAGGAAAGGTTGATCATATTTGATCTCATCTTATATTTAGCCCAGTTAAGGTACCAAGTAGCCTTTTTGTTGTTGTAGTTTTACAAATCCCTTTATTTAAACGGAGCTCCACGGAGGTGCAATAGTAAGTGGATACGTTCTTACAAACGTGGCGTGTAGCCAGAAGGTCTAGTGGAGAGCAAATGTGTCCAAAATGTAACGTTGTTTTGGGAGAAATGTGTAAAGAATTCTAACAAGATTCATATGTAATGCTCGTTAAATTGTGCACCACAAAGAAAGCACTCTGGAGACAGATCTGTCCGAAGAGGAGCAAGAAGTGGGAGGAGCACGGCTTGTCCAGAGCCTCCATGTGAGTTCAGGTTTGGGCCTTTTAACCTGCAGCAGAACTCTGGATGTCTTATGGCAACAGTTGAGTAAAACTCCAGCGCTCCTTAAACACAACAATTAATTAATCCTTGCATCAGAGTGGCGTGTGATAACACGTGATATATATTTTCAATTGCCCACATCCATGTGTTGCATCCGAGTACCTGGTAGCGAGTTTATCCTCATACAGTCCGAGTGATGAACATTCACATATCTGCATTCTCTACAATATAATGGAACTATATGGCACTTTTGGTGATCAAAACAGCCTTTTAAATTGATTGACAGGTTGTTGTTTTTTTCCTGATGGCAATGTCATGTGTAGAGATGTATCAATAATAGTTCCACCTTTAAATCTCTTACAACAGCGTCTGGGGATTATGCTGCGTAACAGGGTTATGATTTCCTGGAAAGATACATCAACGTTGAGCCTTTCAAATGTTCTTTTTTTTTAATGCCTTGACACAAGGCGAGCGTCATCTAGCCCCATTGTGGTCGTAGGCAAGCAAAAAACATTTGTTTTTCTTATTCGGGGCTCTTCCTTTGAAGCCAATTAGACGTTATTCAACAGTATTAAACGCTAAAGGCTTAAAATGAAATACAGATTTTTCATTTAAAGATGCATTTAATATACCAAGCATTTCTAGACAGGAAACATCCATTCACTCAGTATGTCGGTAAGACACGACTGGAGCTAGCACAGCTTGTTACTGCCCTCTTCTGGGAAGAAGTGCCTCCTGCTTGGGGGTGAATTTGACTCGTATTGACTACTTTTCACCACCGAGTGGAGATATATCACAGAGTACTGACTAACCAATGCCGTGTGGTCCAAAAGGATATTTTTACTAAGGGCACCGGACACATTTTGCACCAAAATGAGCAATATTGTGATGCATTCTTTTATCCATACGGAAATGAATAAATGTCCATCTATTTCCATCTTTTGTGCTTGATATCTTACACTCTATAGAATATTTATATTCATTATGCAGAATTTCAACTTGCAGAAAGTTAATATTTGTGGATGCAAATGGGGACATTTACATGCTGGGAAAAGAACAGTTCCTCCTCTTGTGTTTGGATTCTAAGAAAGGAGCCACCCACACGTTCATATTATCAGACCTGCAGCTCTGTTCATATATGATAAGCTACAGTAACCGCAAAGTTTGAATAATAACGGCAAAGTGTGTTAGTTTTGTGTTTGTGTGCATGTGTGGGCGTATGTAGATTTAGGTGTGTGTTCGTACACATTGATTAAATAAACCAAAAGTTACTCCCAACTTCTCCAGTATTTCCTCCAGCTCAAATACATCTTTAAAGTCAAAACTTGCACTATTAACTAGTGCACATTTTTTCGTTTTTGTTTAAGGGGGTACAACGCTTTTATTCTTGTGTTTTGCATGTTAACTACAACGATTGCATATCATGTTTGTCACAAAGTGCTTGGGCGAGCATGCCGTCTTGTCAGAAACTTATTGAATTATTTATCCCAGGTAAGAGCATCAGGTTACAACGAGATGACTGACTGTAAGACAGGAGGAGAGCGCACAAGCACTAAAGGGCAGGTGATGATAATGAGACACATGAGAGCACAGAAGGAAGAAACTGCTTTTCAAAGTAAGCTGATGAGCAATCAAATGAGCAACTTACTCGAGGGAAATTTCCACGGTACATTACTGTTTTATTATTCCAAACATAATATTGTCTGACGGGGATCTTAAAGTAGACAAAAGGGGAAGAGTGTTGGACAAACACACGGACGGTTTTCGCAAAAGATTGCACACATGAACACCTTCAGGTGCTGCAAACACATGCACCTCCTGATCAGAGTTAGCCCCTCCCACATCCTGTACACCTGCATATAAGCTCACCTGTAGCATCTGCAGCACAGATCCTCCGGTGTTCCTCTGGACCCCACTTTTCCTCTATCTGAACCAGAACCAGAACCCGGGTGAGTAGGATGTTTTTATGCTGAATAAATTATTTATTAGAATGAGCGATTTAAATTGTTTTCAGCAAATCCACTTTTATTTAGAACAACTTTGCATGTATCTGACTTAGAATGATACGTTCTAACTTTCAACGAAGTGAATCTTACTTTCTCAACAGTTGTCGACAAAACTATTTGTCGGCTAATCAAGAGATGATTTTTTTTCCAAAAATGAAAGTCGCATTTACCTGCACAACAAAGTGTTTCTTTGTGTCACCGGAATTCCTTCTGAATATTTTCCCAATCACTTTCCCAAGATCTATATTTCACCTGAACAAGGGCTGTCTGTCTCCTGCTGGGTCCTTTGTACTTTTGTGGGAACGGTGCCGCAGGGATCAAGTGACCGGGACGGAAAGGTTCCCCCTGACCGCTAATCCACAGAAACACACACTCAAACAAAGACTCACTGTTCATGTTTGACTTCCGTACAGTAACTAGTCACACTTGAAGGTCCGGGACGTAATCTAGACACCTGCTACCATCAGATTAGGTTAATGAGTAGGACGGAACAAACGTTTTCATTCAGTAACGCTCAGAACGTTTTTGTGAGACGTCGCTGTCATAATCTTTTCTACATTTAATCACGTCACCAATGGTCTTTATCTAGTTTCTGGAACCACATTTTATCTCCTCATTTTTTTTCCTTCTGTTGAGTGAATCCATTAGTGTCTTGAATGTAAAATGCACCTTATTATCATAGTAATAGACAATATAAGAGCGCTTTTTTAGTGCGGTGAGAGGCTCTTCTTCGACCCAGGGTTGAGCTGTGCTCATTTCCATTTAGATTTTACAATGACTTGAGTTGCCTCCGTATTTGAATAGAGCCGAGATGGACAGACTGAAGAGGCTGTGACAATAATGAGTCAATGTCTTCCATGCAGATGGTTCAATTGAAGAGCCACTAGCCGGCCAAATGTACACTTGTGAAAAAAGACTCCTTTCATCATTTTTAGTGGTCTCAAATATGAGGCCCTAGTTGCATTGAGCTGCCGAACGCTGGAATAAAACTCATTTATTTAAGGGCCACAAAAGAGCTTTTCCACAGCGAGATCTTGTGTAGTTTAAATGACTGCAATAAATCTGGTGTTTTAAGTATTTTCCTTGTGACACGTGTAATTTGAACATCCATTCAGTGTCCATGCAGAGAGGTGAGCCCTTAGCAGCCGTGATGGATGCAAACTTGCATCCATCACTTGTACTTGTTCGCTTCTCTCCTCTTGCATTTCCTCCACTTTGACTTTTAAGAGTTCACCAACGCTTCCACGAGTTGGTCATTGTTGCATGTTCTTGCCCCACAGCGCCCTCCATCATGACCTCCAGCATGTCAGTGAGGAGCTTCTCCGTGAACCGCCAGCCCTCCTTTTCCAGTCGCTCTCTGATCGACACCGGCCGCGCCCGCTCCCGCGCCTCCGTGTCCTTCACTGCAACCAGCCCCCTGAGTCGGTCGGCCTCCATCGGCCAGGACCTCAACGGGCCAGCAGGCCTGCAGCTCAACGGCCTTCACGGCAACAGCATCAACGACAAGGAGGCCATGCAGAGCCTCAACAACCGTCTGGCCAGCTACCTGGACAAGGTGCGACACGCACCGAAACTAGCGCCGTTAAGCTGCTGGCCTGCAGCCGGATTGGGCCATGTGACGTGTCTCCCTCTGTCACAAAAACACTATGATCATTGGGGTGTCTCTTTCTTTGTCTTCCTCCAGGTGCGTTCACTAGAGCGCTCCAACGCAGACCTGGAGATGAAGATCAAGCAGCTGATGCTGGACCGCATTCCCAAAGGTCACGACCTCGATTCTATGATGGCCCAAGCTCATGCTGTTGAGCAAGAGGTGCGCATGAAGAGACGTGCAACCACAGCAGACATACAGTATGGAGGCCGGCATTCAGAGGGCCGGCCTGTGCAAGGTCACAATGACGACAATTGTTATTTTACATACTCAAAACATCAATGCAAATGTGGACATGTGCAGTAGTTGCAATCACTTAATCCATCAGAGGAAGAATTCGCCCTACCCATGATATTTGTGTTAACATGTTTGCAAACCGAGCCTGGACAGAGTTAATTATTATTTTTGCCTATTTGGAGGGAAAAACAGAAATGTAATGTGTTACCTTTGGGTGATGATTTACCCAAATGCTTTGTCTTCTGAAACATTGGTCCCCCCACTTCTACTGCCAGTATACCACATAAAACACACCAGTGTAACAAATGAAGCTTTAAAAGCCCATGCCGTCCGTGTGAAGTGTGGCTTTAATGAAATGATGTTAAAGTCTATCGTTTCTCTACCTCGACATTTGGCAGGTGAGGAAGAGGAACTTGGAAAATGCACGTCTCATGTTGGAGATTGACAATGCTAAACTGGCTGCCGATGACTTCAGAATCAAGTGAGTGATTAAGTACAAAGGTGGAAAACTGAAACGATCATATCATTTTGATTTACTCCGCTTTAATAATTTATTTGCCTTTTTTTACTATAGTATTTAGTCAGAGGGACTGAGATTCTTCAGTATTCTGTTTCATAAAAGTTATCGATGTAACTTCATGAGGCCTTCATGCAAAGTATTACGTTTTCCGCCGTGCTCTCTGTTTATCTGGACCTTGCCAGGTGGGAGACGGAGCTGGTGATGTGTCAGTCCGTGGAGCGCGACTGTGTCGCCCTGAAAAAGGCCAAGGCCGACCACGAGCAGATCATTGCCTCCCTGAGAGGGGATCTGGACAGCCTGAAGGAAGAGCTTTACTTCCTCAAGAAAAACCACGAGGAAGTGAGTCCGATCTAACTTTGTCTTCACTGGTTTTCTTATCTGCTTCTCACACATTTCTGTGGTGTCCGTAGAACACTTTAAACACGCTGCTTCATCACATTTACTTCTCCATTACTCGATATTGGCCTCATCTCGTTTTCATTTGGGGCCCCTCCCTTATTCTGCTGCTGCCCTCACTAACAACTAGTTGTTTATCTGTGGCCCCAGTTGAATGACTCTATGAGTTCTTATTTTAATGCCTAAGAAGACAGGGGGGGGGAGCATGGGGGGGGGGGGGGGTGGTGCTCTGGTTACTATAGACAAAAGAAGCAGGTAGATCTGGTTTCCCCAACCTGCTATTTTGGCCCAATCAGCTGATTCCAGGAAACCGGACTCCTGTCCTCTATGGATGAATGAGAAGCTAAGATTAATTTACCCAGTGCCACCAAGAGAACAAGTCCTCTCAATGAAACGCAGTGACACACAACTGCATCAATCCAGCATATTTCACTAACTGAGACAGCATTATCAAGGCTTTGTTTAATCCTTTAATACATCATGCACATGTATCGGGCATGCGCATAAATTATTTCTATTCAATTCAACAGTTGTTTTTTTGTCTTATTTGACCACGCGTGAACGTTCACCTTGTCCAGTGTGAGGAAAGTGGAATGTTGCTTTAGTCTGCGTTCCGCAATACACTCTGGCATCTCCTCTGTGTCAAAAACTGTAGACCCCCCCACACTTCCCCGCTTCCAAAGCAAGGAGACAACTTCTGTGCAAAAATGAAAGTACACATTTCAACTTAGTTCTCCAACAGAGGCCGGTTTGTTGGCTGTTTGTTGGCTGTTTGTATGCGTTTGTGTGTGTCACAAAGAAACGAGAGTGACAGAGATCGGGTGGATCATGACTAGAGGTCAGTGTGTGTGAGCGGAGGAGCCAGGAGTAAGGTGAGCTCTGCCCCATCAACTATTGATGGAGAACATCTAAATTATGAAGAAGTCCTCCCCTCCTCCCCACCACCCCGCTGTGAAGGATTCACAGTCTCTATATTCAAACAGACAACCATTAGGTTCTTTAACATTAGAAAATAAACACATGGACGCTATTATATAGGGATATAATTAAAAAGCCACCGTGTTTCCGCCCCGCAGGAACTGGAGCAGATGAAGTCTCGCATTGCCAGAGATGAGGTGAACGTCGAGGTGGACTCGGCCACTGGGCCCGAGCTGGGCACCGTTCTGTTTGACCTGCGTTCCCAGTACGAGGGGATCGTCAAGAAGAACAAGGACCAGACTGAGCAGTGGTACCGCAAGAAGGTGAGGGGAACAATTGCGCGGAGAAAAAACGACGGAGCGAGCGAAGGGAAACACACTTCTTGAACTGCCACACGCGTCCGTTCTTGTGACCTTCTCATCCAGCTGGAGACGGTGCAGAACAACGTGAAGGAGAGCAACGAGGCTCTGAGAGGAGCTCAGAGCGAGCTGGTTGAGAGGCAGCGCTTCCTGCAGAACCTGGAGGTGGAGCTGGAGAGTCTGCACAAACAGGTGAGCTGCTACGACCGAGAAGCGGGGGGGCCAAATGAACACACAGAATGAATGGATGAAGCAAATTGAAGGTTAATGCCTACAATTTAACAGAACAATATGCACAATGCAACACAACAATGGGCCTGATATAGTTGTTCTTTGGATTAACAATAATTGTGCATGTGCTGTTTCTGTTCAAAACCTAATGAAAAAAGCAGAAACCTCCATCCGACACCAACTGTGAAAGACTTAATGAAGACAGGACTCACAGTTAGTCTCCACACGCGTTTATTTTAACATGCCATCAACTTCTGAGAAAGATCACTTTGTTTCGGGCTCATCTAATCCGTGTTGACAGTAAACATGTTCTCCCACGCTGGCAAGTCTTGCGAGACATCGTGGAGCAGTTGCTCAATGGTCTGGGGGTGAGTTTCGGCGGTGAGACGGGGGTAATCACGTCTGAGCAGCGATTTTGTTTTGGATGCCAAGGCCCTGCCGGTTGACAGGTATTTGTGGATAATGGTCTGGGAAGTCATTTTAGAATCGGCAGACACAGCGGCTTCATTTTTCTCTCTTCAGGTAGCGGCGCTGGAAGGCAACCTGGGCGAGACGGGCCACAAATACTCCTCCGAGATGGAGAGGCTGCAGGCCACCCTGAGTCAGCTGGAGGACGACCTCTCGCTGCTCCGGGTGGACATGCAGCGCACCAAGACCGACTACGAGCAGCTCCTCCGCATCAAGCAGAACCTGGAGATGGAGATTGCCACCTACAGGCGCCTGCTGGAGGGAGAGGAGACGTGAGTTCCACTCAGATCGACCAATCAATGCCGCTCTCGCCTCAGGCCGCAAGAGGCAGAAACCTGTTAGCTTAGCATAGCTATGCCCAATGCAAAGGAAACAGAAACCCCTGTGAAACCACAAGTCGCCTTCTGACTGCACCATGTAAATCTAGAAATCTTTCTAGCTTTAGAGATCCTGGTTGAGGGGTTTTGTAACATGTTACTTTCAGCAGGTCTAGCAGTCTTTATGCTAAGCTAACTGGCTGCTGGTACCAGTCTCATACAATTTTAAGTGTGGTGTCAAACAGCTTGAAAGATAAAAAGGACATTTCTTGAACTATTCATTCAAACCTGTATATGTGGGTTCCAGGTCAATTTAAAGATATACTTGTTAACTTGTTTCCTTTCTGCCCCTCAGAGTCAAGGAAGTTCCTCCTCCACCGAAAAGTGAGCATTTGGCTTTTAATATCTGACTGATGAAATAAAAATATAGCATAAAGATAGCAATGTATTTGCTGGTATCTCAGAGCAACAGAATGGCCTTCAAGCACAACATTGTACAGCATATTGACACATAGAGTACAAAGAGTGAAGCACTGCTCACTCACTTATTCTTATCGGGACATGACGCAAACAAAGAAAGCATGGAGTGACTAAAGCTTTAATGATGACGTAGATAAGTACAGCAAACTGTTCACATGTGTTTATTTTGTCATTTGAAAGTGAGGCTGACAGAAACTTATAAATTCACACACCCAATCGCATCAAAACAATGCAAACACAACAGTCCAGCTCCAATAGCAACCAAAGTGGGTGTGAAAACATTCATCCCAATGCTGTGCATATACGACATCGGCATGGACGCCTTCACACCCACCGTTGATTGAGACACAGAAATGACATGGAAATGTGTCTTAATCCGACTGACTCCTGCTGCCGGATTAACAAACTGCGAGGCATTTTGAGTAAAAGCAGCCCAGAGGCAAAGACTGACGTCAGGGGGGTTTAATGGTTAGAGCCCTAATGTCTTATTTAGTTATTTCATACAAGTAGAAGTTCACTGAGCAACAGATCAAACCACATCAGGTGAATTGAACCAGCAGTGACTGAGGAGGTGATACTCGGGCACACGGTTGAATAAATTACAGAGGAAATGTGAGATTAAAATGTTTTACCACGTTTGAATTTTCCTCTCATTTCACTGCCTCTAATGTTTTGTCTCATCTCCTCCTCCCTCATACCACCTCATTGCATCTCATCCCTGCAAATCACATCATATTTCTCTCTCTTTTACACTCATGTCATCAAACCTTTGTCTCCTCCCGTGATTTAATCATCTCTTTTCATCGCAGCTTACTTTCTCACAAGTGTAAGTCTGTCGTGCCCATTCAAACTAGTCCTTTCAATTCATTTAATCAAATCTCATTCCAGATCATCCCCTTTGCTCTTTTTCTCATCTTCTGTCTCATTTCATTTCATTTCATCTCATCTCATCTCATTCGATCTCCTGTCGTCCGTGTCTGTGCAGAAGAGCCTGATGTTCGCACCAGGAAGATTGTGAAGGTGGTCACCCAGACGATGATCAACGGCAAAGTGGTGGACGAGTCCAGCGAGGTGGAGCAGATCGAGGAGACGAAGAAATAAACAGGGGAGACAGAGAGTGGCAGAAAGTGACACAGCCGGGGCTGTGCAGCATCCTTTATCCTTGTGACTGAGGAAAGGTAGTTTCTAATGGAGGATTTCTTGGGGAAGTTGCATGACCATGAATGTGCTTGTGCTTTCTCACAGTTGACTTATCTGTGATGCTTTGATCGATTGTTTTGTTCTGCAGTTAACATGCAGTTTATGTTTAGCACCGCTGTAGCTATGCATGCTTATATCAATTTAGAATAGAGATGTCTGTGTTTGTGAGTGAGAAATACTGACTAATCTTCATACTGTCTTACTAATAAAATGTTGTGTACTTAAACAAGATATTTATTACTTAGAATGGAAAAGTTGACTTATTTTAATGTAATGCAAACCTTTACTCAAGAATATTATTCAATTGTCTTTACCGTTTTTTTTTTTGTTTGTACTCTGACTAAATAAAATATTTAATCCACTCCGTGTGTACACTTTTATTCATACTTATAATAAACACACCTTTAATTCTGAAATCAACCAACAGCAATATGCATTGTCTTCAGAGGACTGCATGAATGAAGATTCATGGAGCTCGATTCACAAGACAAGGCTTCACTTTTCTTGCATCTTATGGGGGCGGGGAGAGAACACAAGCCGCCTCCTGTCTCTCCTCTGTTGTCTCCACGCAGAGGTAATGACGACATGGTGCGTAGGACACACACGGATCATTGGATTAAGCAGTCTGGTGATGTTTCAATAACAAGCTCACCTCCTGAGTTCAGATGCTTCATTCAGGAACCATTTATATTGCTGCTGTCTGGTGTTCCATTCATGTTCACATGAACAATGTTATGATTGCTTTAAGTAGTTATGATGGGTATTCAAGCTCATTTCTTTGTGCGCAATGTGGCTAGACTATCCTCTAGTGGCCACTTCTAAGATGAGCAATTAATACACAGTTCATTCAGTAAAGGTAGTGACCGTAAACACTCCCTGTGTACCGGCCCATAACTCTTAGCTCTCCAGACGTTGGGTATCTGGCGTCACCAGACTCAAGCAGATCAATCCACTAATATTCTTACCTCAAGTAGCCTATTTTAAGTGAAAACCATCTGGGGTCCAAACGGTCTCTGTCTGCAGTAACGGTGAGACGATGTCGAGTGATGTCTATGTAGTTTCCTCTATTTTCTGTGTTTCAAACGTTGCATATTAAATGGTCTCATTTCCAGGAAGGTCAAACAGTTGATCCCATCAGAGCTGCACTCATTTAAAGGCAGACTGAGTCTACGGCAGCTTTTTTCCGTAACACCCACAAAGATAATTCGCGCTCTCCTGTCAGGACTTCCCATTACACAACTGAACAGCCATCTATAAATATAACTGAGCAATCCCACAATATCTTTTAAGACGTTAGATCGCAGAAGAACGTTGACCTGGTGCAGTAACCTACTGAGATGTTTAAATAAACATCTGAGGGTGCATGTTATCAGTCAATCTAGCATGCTTCCAAGTCATATGAGGAATATAAAGTGAGGTTGAAATATGTCCACATCGTACTGTTGTGGTCAACTAGCATTTACAGCCTATAATCCCCCTAAATTGTCATTTAAATAACAACAAAGTTCAATGATAAGTGTAACTAAAAGTCATCGGTATAAACTTGATAGAAGAAATGTTGTCGCTGTTCTTTATGAGTTTATGTGTCCAAGCGGGGGACACTGTTTTGCTTGTCTTGCACAGAGTAAGCCGGCGCGTGAGGCTTCTTATACTGGGTTACAGTAATGCTTGACGATACTTTGCTTCAGTACATTTCTTTCCATCGCGTTGCATAACATGGAGAGAACCGCACACCAGCTATACGAACATCTCTATGTTTCCCCAAACTCGACAACGTTTTACTGACGGTGTAAGCTTTTGACATGATGGTTGACCCCTTGGATGATGCTAAGTAGCCAAACAGGTGCGGTAGCATGTGAGAGGACTAAGGTCTCTGGACATCAGACCACCAGTAAGCGTATTACTGCTCAGTGTGTGTTGGGTTGGCTCTGGCTCAGGAGGGATCACAGCCACTTACATTATGTTTTCAAGCCTCAACTGCTGACAAATGTTTATCTGTTCATAGATATTTATGAATGAGAGATTTATGCACGTTTACGTGTTTTTTTTTACAAAAATTAAGAAATTCAGGTGGTGTTGTTTAGAAAAATATCTTTTATTTCTTCTTCCAAAGCAGCAGTAACATTTTCCTTACAAACAACGGATGAACACAGAATGACAAAACAACACATGTGAATCTTTGTCCACCATCGTTGCTCAATTGTATCCTCCTCTCAATCTCTTTTCATGTTTCTGTGTCCGTCCACTCGCACCATCACTCTCACACACAGGCCTTCTTACACATATACCCTCCACCCACCCCCTTCTTGATTCCAGGGGCTCCTGACTGCACCTGGCCGGCTTCACGCTCTCCTGCTCTGCTCTCTCTTTCTCCTTAGCAGGCTCCAGACTGCAGCACCGGCTGGAACTCTCCCGCCAGGCAGATGTCCTCCTGTTTCTGGCGGACGATGCGCTGGATGGCGGGTGGGAGGCCGCGGGGGTTCCTGGAGAAGATGAGGGCGTAGCCGTCCTCGCAGCTGCCGTCTTCCTTCAGGGTGCGGCAGGCGTAGGTGATGGCGTAGTTGTCGTAGTCGGTGTCGATCACCCAGTAGTTGTCACCTTGGTTGGAGAAATGGAGGAGGAGGTTAGAGAGCGCGCGGGGAGGCAGGACAGAGGGTTTGAGAGGAGGTATGTGTGCACAGCTCACCTCCGCTGGAGAGGTAGCTGGCCAGTCCCTGGTAGTTCATGAACATCTTGCCGGGGCTGGCGGGGTCGGGGACCGAGTACTGGGCGGCCATGTCGGCACACACCACCCAGAAGCTGCAGGACACACGTGTCAGTGGACAAAGTAGTCTTTGGCTAGTATTGTTGTCATTTTCTTGCAATTTTACTACTGTACAGTATTGGTTTACATTTCTCATAACAAAGCCTAGATGTATTTTGGTATGCAATGGAATACTTGTATTTGTTTGGGTTTGGGTTTGCATCAAAGCCCACATTTCACTGCAAAAATCAATTCTTCATTATCCCCATAATCCAGAGAAAACACAGTTTGTTGCTAACACTGAATCAGAATGTGTTTTTACAGAATCCCACTTAACTGCCGACACCAAAAAACGAATCAAGAAGGTTTATCAATTTAGTTTAAAGAGGCATCCACAGATGCAATTGTATCTGTAGATGACTATTAGTTAAATAAAGCTGTAATTCCCCTGCTGGCCCTCTGACTCACCCGAACAGAGTGACGCGTCCCTTGGAGGAGGCGGTCATGGAGCCGTCATCATCAATGGTGTACTCAGCCGAGATGTTGTCCTGCAGGAACAGGCCCTCCGGATCTTTCTTCTGCAGTGCGTACCACTTTCCTGCATACTGCAACGAAAAAGAACCAGGAGTGAGGTCAGAGAGGGTCTTACTTTTCAACACGCATGCCGTAGATGAGTTTGAATTCACTCACCCTCTTGGGGTCAAAGTCCCCTTTGACTGTGAAGCTGTCGACGACACAGGAGGCAGAGAGGCAGTGCTGCACGCAGGACAGCAAGACCAGCAACAGGGCCGTTTTAGAGGATGTCATTCTGAAAGGAAGCAATCAACAAGTGTGTTTTCCATTTGATGCAGGATGAAGAAAATAGAAACATGACAGGCTGTTACATTCTGGAAAATTGTAACGTGACATCGGTGACAGAAGAGAAAGTTTACATAAAGAGCAGAGTAAAAAAGGACAAAGGCGTTTGCTGGTCACCTCAAATACAATTTGAAGAAAATTCCCAAACTAGTTAGTAAAAGGTCAAATAAATGATACGGCAATCTCACCTGTTTGAGTCAAAGAAGCGACACCAACACCTGAATGTTCTTTCTTGTGGTTATCCACTTGAATGGGTCTTGTGTGTGAGGGCCGACCTTTATATACACAGTCCACAGACAAGCTTATGGCTGATTTTCATTGCTTGGTCCTAAATAAGGTGCTTAAATCTAGAGGTAATCCTGTTGGGCTGAAATACTTACCGTAATCTGGCTTCTATGATGAAACCTGGCCAGGACTTTCGATAAAAACAATCAGACCTTTATGCAACTGAAACAAAATAAAACAGGCAAATATCTGAGCAGGACCACGCGCGCATAAGCAGAACTTGAACACTTTGAACAGCACAGATAGAAAATTACTGTTTGGAGTGTGGATTTTCTCTACTATACCAAACATTTGAAGTGTCATAAAACAAATTTCTGGTAAATAAAATGGAATTTTGTATTTTTTTATTTTATTTTATTAACTACTAAGTAGCAACAGAAACGTTTGATCATAGTTCAGTAATGTCTGGCTGATTAAGAAAATATTCATATGTGTCGTACGATATTAATGTACTTTTGTAAATTCAAATATCTGCAACTATCATACAAAGAATAACTTTTGTGCTAATTAAAAATGATAGACGATTTGATTTAACACGTTTGAATAGTTCCATTTTTGCTGCCAAAAGAAAAAGGTATGTTGATGAGTCTTCCCGTAGAAGGACTGGGTATAACCGCGTGGACGAGCTCGGTTCAAAGTCAGGCTGAATTAAAGGGGAATGTAAATATCACACTAGAAACAGCTTAACGCTTTACTCTTGCTTAGGGTTATACATTCTCTACAGGCGTGCATCCAAACCCTAACAGGACTAAGTGTCACAATAAATAAACACTGTACTGTGTACAAAAAACACCCACATGACTGTACGTGTGCACAACTGTAAATGCAGATAATTGCATTGTATGTACACAAACAAACACATATTTCCTCACAAGGTTATTTCGGCACAGTAAAGTTTAGTAATGTGGTAAATATCACCATCAAATCTGCTTTTAACCTTTAATGGTTTGTGTATTTTTGTTTCTTACTGTCTACCTGCCTAGTTTAAATTGTTATCATTTATTTGTTCCTTTTTCTACCATGTGAAGTCCCCTTGAGTTCTTTCTTAAGTGCTATACAAACATGTTACAGCACTATTTGCATGATTACGTTCAGCACAGTTTAAGGCTGAGAACATTATCTCACACCAGATGAGAGACAACATTGAACAACTTGTTTATGTTCTCTTCTTGTGGTTGAGTAATCAGTGTGTAATCCTGGAAGAAGTAGCCTGTAAGTCTGTCCAGACATTCCCAACAATGGGATGATCCGCTTAATAACACGTATAACACAGTTAGATAAGGGCTTGAATGCACCATGTTGGAGAAGTGTTTTACCACACAAAAGATCACGCTGGCACAGATATTAATCTTAATGGCAAGAGGAGTAGAAATCAACAGATATTATTTTGTATGCATGCAGGTTTGCACTTACACACACACACACACACACATAAAGAACACACACATGCGCCTACTTTCTCACACTCTCTGCTGTGAAATAATGAACTCATTTCGTGGATTAGCCCTGATCACATGAGATTACTGTCGCCATAACACTGTTCAAAGTCTTCTTCGGGTGTCGATTTGTTTTTTTATTATTTGCTACTTAATTTTACATATGCATTAAATTTGTTGCATTTACACAAAAAAAAATAAAAAAAATTACAAACTGTCTCCTCAGCGAGGATACATACAGGCCTGCCAATCAAGACAGACAATCGATATTTTCATCTGGCTCATTACTTTTGCCTGGAATTCACTCAATAGACTCCATTCTTAAAATTGTGAAGAAATATGTGAACTACGTACTTTGATCCTCTAACAACGTTTATATGAATTAATTTATTATGGGAGGACACCCTTAAGCCCAAACGTGGCTTATTCCACAGCGCATGCTCCAAGCCTCCGGTCGTTACGGACGTCTGCTTTTGCCCGGTAACCTGGACGGACCCGTGACGAGGCTCACGCAACGATTACATCCTCTGTGGACCATCACGGCCACGGTATTTATATCTATTTAAGTACAGTCACATTCAGGGACTGTGCTGACACACACTGGCTAAAACCGTAAGCTCAAACTCTGCACCCCGTCCACAAAACATGGAGACATTTCCTGATATTTGGAGTTTTGTTGTTGTATTTTGATGTGAGAAAAACAGTTTTTAAGTCCTTCGGCTGGAGAAGTTTGGGAAGATCCGACAAATAATTCCAATTGCTGTGTTCATCCATTAACAGACAAGACATTGCTGTAATTTGATATACAGAACACTGTATGCTATTACTTGAAGATGCACAGACTGTTTCCTCACAGGTGTCCTGCCAGACAATGACCGTGAAAAACAGCGCCTCTCTCCTCTTTGTTGCATTGCAATTCCTTAAACTACCAGAGTGTAATAGGCAGGACAGTCAACACGTGTGTGTCGATCTATTGGTTATAATGTACTTCCTCTGGAGGTCGAGGAGTGTGAGATGGCTTTGAGAGTACAGGTGGTATTATATGGGTCTGCTGGCGCCTTGTGGTGAGTGTCAGCACTGCAACACGTACGTTTGTGTCTGTGTGTGTGTGTGTGTGTGTGTGTGTGTGTGTGTGTGTGTGTGTGTGTGTGTGTGTGTGTGTGTGTGTGTGTGTGTGAACGTAAGGATAGAATAGTAGTGATGCGTAACACTGAATCCATATAAACTGTAACTAAATATTTGGTCATCACATATCGTATCATACGCTCCCATCATTTCTCTAGTCCATCCTTAAACAACATTCACATGCACGTGCGGGCCGTTGTAACGCTTATTGGGCGCAGAAATTATTTATTTGCTTATCTAAAACATACAAATGAAGGTAATTCATTGGATTTGTGAAATAAAAACCTTACACACACACACACACACCACGTGGACCTGCGTTAGTCTAATCTGTTATAGTGGAAGCAGATTATGTATTTGACCTTTTGTTTAATGTGGAACCGTATTATAGAGAGGTCCTCCCGGCTCCGTGTGACAGAACTTTCTAACAGAAGCACTAAAAGTCTCTCTTTCGCCACGTTGTGTATTGGTGGGTAGTTGACAGTATTCGCTCCCTATTGTTTAACTAAAGGTCTGACTTTACTATCTCAGTCTTATCAGAATACCACTGAGCGTCAGTCTCTAAAATGAAGTAATGGTTGTCCAAACCGGGGAAAAGGGCACTGCAGGTAAACTAACACGCGGATGAAGACGGAGAGTCGGGGTGCCGAGATAATCAGCTTCTGTCCCAACTAAATAGGGCTTATGCCAGAGGAGGCCTTGTTTAATAAGGACTTAAAGAGCTTGAACAGGTACCGTTAGACCTGCAGGTGGGTGAGCGACAGACAGAAACATTATACTCCAGTAGACCACTCGTACACTGTAAAGTATTATGCAAGCTACAGGATAAGAGCCCATAATGTTTGTCACATGGGAATGATTGTATAGCAAAGTAACACAGACAACGATTACACAACACAGTAACACAGAGGTCTTATTATCTAAGTACCATTTATAAAACTGGCACATTTAATTAAGAATAAGAAAGGTATATGAACTTAAATCTACATATGAATGACTTGCTTGTAAAAGTGCAGTGAAACAAAAGAGAGGATAAAGTTCATATCACAGCGTTCGCTTGAAAACAATGTGTATTTCATCTCCATTCGATCCTTGTGTCCCTCGAGGGATCCTACAGAGCGTGGCGTAGCCCGCCGGGCGATGCAGAATGTGGCCCGGATATCCGATACCAGGTGATCAGCTGACGAGTTTAGCAGAGGCCGATCCCTGCTAACCTTCAGCGCTGTCTGCTGATGACAGATGGATTGTTTCGATTCAGCCCTCCGCCTCCTCCTCAGGGCTCTCCCTCACTTAGTCCGCTCATCCCACCTGCAAGGGGGGCAAAGGGGTGGGGGAGGGGGGCGTTGATATCTTCTACCCGCATGTGGTCCACTTTAGTTTCCCCCTTTTGCGTTTAATACGTACGATTTATTTTCTTGAAGGGATTTACTGGACGAACCGGTAACTATGTGCTTTGCTTTTGCTTCGTCCCATTTGATTTAATTTCTGTTGAGAGAAGTTGGAAGTAGCTCACTCGGTGGGGGGGAAGCGGTGGAACCGAGCGGGAGCTCCATCACTGAGCCGAAGAGCGAGACGACGGGAACGTTTGGGGCGAAGAGGAGGAGGAAAGTAGTGGACCATGGGTTCGCAAAAGGAAGATGTGGAGAAGTTCCTCAAGGAGAACCCTGCGTTTGCGAAAAAGTACTTTGACAAGAAGATGAGCCCTGCCTCCATGTCAGAGCTGTCAGGACTCCCAGAAGAACAGATTGACTTCAGCCAGTTCAAAGACCTCACTCAGGTACATTTCATTGTTTCATTCTTGTCAACCCGCACAAACCAATCCGATAGTATAATAACATTACCCCTTTGCTCTTGTCTTCAGCTTGAAGAAAGCCAAATCATGTATGAGCTGATCAAAGACATGCAAGAGAACATCAACGTGGAAAAGGTGGTTTTCAAGATCCTGAAGAGAATCAGTTCCCTGATCCACGCGGACCGCTGCAGCTTGTTCATGTACCGCCAGCGGAACGGCATCGGAGAGCTCGCCACGCGGCTCTTCAACGTCAGCACAGAGGCACAGCTGGACGACTGCGTCGTGCAGCCGGACTCTGAGATCGTCTATCCGCTGGACATGGGAATAGTGGGCCACGTGGCCCTCACCAAGAAGACCGTGAACGTGAGAGATGTCACGCAGGTGAGCGGTGCAGTGGGAGGGAAATGGCAGTGATGACCGAGGAAGTCCTTCCCGTTTGCTATTTCGTCTTAATCTCATCGCCAGCAGGTTTTAATTCCGAACTGAATTACAGTTCATGAGGTTAAGTTACCAACTCGTTAATTGGATACGACTCAGCCGAGCTTTAGCAGGCAAAACCATTAAGGAATTTTGAAATATACTCTTCAGCTAAACTAAGACGAACCAAAACCTGGTCATGTTTTTCACACTGTGATAAAGTTTTTTTGGTTTGACTACAATTGGATAAAATTTGATTTTTACATCAACTAGGCTGTAGTTCTATGAACAGATGTGGATCAAACCTACAAATGGCAGTTGCAGATGAACCAACATTGATTATTTCAATTTTGAAAATGTTTTGGTGTATTATTATTATTATTATCATCATAATATTATTACTCCAAGCCAATTTGATTTTTAGACACTAAATTACTAAATCTGTATGTTTTCATTAATTAGTGATGAGAGCAGACAAGTAAAAGAAGCGTTAATGACACGTGTCCATGGGAATTTAAATCCCCTGGTGAGACATAATCCATTTATTTCTAGATCCCATCAGCTTCTGCTCTATCTGTGGATTAGACGCCTCTGGCATTTAGTCAGCAGGAATCTAAAACAGATCAAAACCAGCTCGCTTTGCACTGCCTCCTTACAGACAAAACTAGACACTAAATATGTATTTTGTCCATTTAGCCAGTAAGTACTGTAGTTTTAAAATTAACTCACCATGACAATCAAGCAGTGTTATATTCTTTTTGAAAATAAAACATCTTCTTGTTTAATAGTGATTTTAGATACTTTTTTTTCTTGTTTTTGGTCCAAATTATAAGACAGAACTACCTACCATGTGATATCTAAACAAGAGACAATTATTCTGAACTCTACAATATACTAATGTATACATATATATCATATTTCAACCATAAGAATACAAACTCAAAAGAACAAGCAAGTGCAATTTCATTCAGTAAGCCGATTTACAACGAGCCGTTAGAAGTCAAATTTAAGTGCTACAATTTTTTTGTCTTTTTGGTCAAGCTTAAGTCTTATGAGGTGTGTGAACGGTGAACGTCAGAAATAGTCATGATAATGACAATTGAGAGCGTTCTGAACATTTACGTGTGTTTTCTGTCCGGTAGGACGAGCATTTCAGCTCATTCGTCGACGAACTCACAGAGTACAAGACCCGGAACATTCTGGCTACGCCCATCCTCAACGGCAAAGACATGGTGGCTGTGATCATGGCTCTGAACAAGACCACAGGACCACATTTCACTGCTGAGGATGAGGACGTGAGTCCCGACCGCGCCGGCACCCACGCACCAGTATTTCAAATTGCGATTACAACTCTGAAAGACAACTGCCACAAGACGGTGGTGGGAGAGGGAATCCCACACGAGATTTCATCACGTCGGTCTGACGCCGAAAAGATTACTATCACTTATATTTAGACCTGGTAGATCATCGAGGTCTTTACAAGTAGGCGTGTGTTCAGTATACGTTAGGTCATTAATCCTAATTAGAAGCAAAGTAAGCTTCAAAATGGAAATAAGCTTGAGGTGGTGAAGTGCGTTATGGACTTGGATCTGAAGCAGGTTACTCACCAACACCATGTAACATTGAAACGATTAAGTTAAGCACAGAATATTGTCTTATCTGTCTTTATCTGTCTTTATGTGACCATTGGCTTTTAAATTCATTCGAAACATATTCACACATGTCAACCTTTTTTAAACATGAAGACTGCACTTCATTTGAGATTCTTGGCTATAAAAATGGACTATTCAGCAACATAAGAGCCACAGCAGGAGAAAATAATCCAAAAGTAGGAATGAATCTAAAAAAGAATGACCTTAAATCACAGTCTTGTCAAAATGCTCAATTATAATTCTAATGACAGCTTTAATTTACAGCTGTTTTGTCGTCAAACAAGGTACTAGCTTGAGAGTCCCAAACTGAAGGGACATTTTTGTGCTCCTGTTTTTAAACAAACGCACCTTGTCGTCTCCCGAAATGTCTCTCCATCCGTATTCTGCGCCTCCACGTCTCCACATCTTGTACTGAGTCACGTATGAATACCCTTATTTACCCGCCATGCTTTCTCATTCCCTCTGTTTGTCCTTTTAGCTCTTTTTAAAGTATCTGAAAATAGCCACGTTGAACTTGAAGATCTACCACCTGAGCTACCTCCACAGCTGCGAGACCCGCAAGGGACAGGTGACCCACCTTGACCTCGGCCTTGCGCTCACATGCAGAATGAGCCTGCGTCCGCTCTGCTCGCACTGACCGCTGCATGTTTGCCGTGTTCCTCCAGCTCCTGCTGTGGTCGGCCAACAAGGTGTTTGAGGAGCTGACGGACATCGAGCGACAGTTCCACAAGGCCCTGTACACGGTGCGCGCCTACCTCAACTGTGACCGCTACTCTGTCGGCTTGCTGGACATGACGAAGGAGAAGGTACGCCGTCTTTCCCGAGTCTCTTGCCCGTGTTGTCGCGTGTTTTGGGCTCACGCGTTTGCTTTAAACCATCTCCCCTCCAGGAGTTCTTTGACATTTGGCCAGTGTTGATGGGGGAGCAGGCACCGTATTCTGGCCCGGTCACTCCTGACGGCAGGGTACGCTCCTTTCGTTTCATTCATCTCACATTATTATCAACACTCTGCTTGGCAATGGATACGTCCTTATTTAACCATTTCAAACCACATTTCAACCCCCAGGAGGTCATTTTCTACAAAGTGATTGATTACATCCTTCACGGAAAAGAAGACATCAAAGTTATACCGTGAGTAAATCTTTTGGCTTCACTCCGAAAATTGATTCAAAATGTGGTCACGGATGAAAAGGACAAGAAAATACCAACGAATCAGCCTTGAGAAGAACTCGCTCCATGTTTGGGAACTGGCCTTGAAGTCAATATGGTATATTTGACAGCAGAGTGTTGCTAACTGGCCGACTTGCTCTTGGGTCACACAGCAATCCGACTCCGGACCACTGGGCCTTGAGTAGCGGCCTGCCCACTTACGTGGCTGAAAGCGGTTTTGTGAGTTTCTTCTCATTACACTACCACAAGCCGTTGAATCATTTAGAGACCAAATGAATGCACTCTCACACCTCCATCCATCGGTTTCATTTCTGCTCCTCAGATTTGCAACATCATGAATACAGCTGCTGACGAGATGTTCAAGTTTCAGGTAAGAGACGTGAAGAGGGCTGGAGTCCGCTGAAAGCTGAAGGAGATGACTCAAATTTGCATCACACGCTTTTGCTTGTTTCAGACCGAGCCGCTCGACAGCAGCGGTTGGACCATTAAAAACGTTCTCTCGCTGCCGATCGTCAACAAGAAGGAAGAGATCGTCGGCGTGGCCACTTTCTACAACAGAAAAGACGGAAAGCCTTTTGATGATCAGGATGAGCAGCTCATGGAGGTTTGTTGACGCTGAATTTCTGTCACTTTGAATAATTCCTCATCCTCCAGCATTTGGACTGTCTGTGAAATACACATATCTATTTTTCTCAGGCTTTGACCCAGTTCCTCGGCTGGTCCGTTTTGAACACGGACACTTACGACAAGATGAACAAGCTGGAGTATCGGAAAGAAATTGCCCAAGACATGGTGCTCTACCATATCAAATGCCGGGATGACGAGATCCAGAACGTCCTGGTGAGCGCGCTGATTATGAGCATCGAAAGGTTTCAGCTGTTATTGAAAATGTCGCGCACTAGCGCGTAGCTTTTCTAGAACTTATCAGTATCAGTGTCCCTCTGCTTTTTATTTCAATTCAAACTTAGCCACCATGTTTTTCTCCCCTGGCAGAACACCAGAGAGGTGTACGGCTGTGAGCCCAGTGAGTGTGAAGAGGAGCAGCTCCTCGACATCCTGGTAAACACGTCTTCAGGCCTAACGGACACTTTATTGAAATAATTGTGTCAGTTACCTAAACTCTTTCTTTTGATGTGTTCATACCCCTCTCAGAAAAAAGAACTACCTCCACTCGTTAAGAAGTTTGAGATCTACGAGTTCCACTTTTCGGATTTCAACTGCACGGAGATGGAACTGGTTAAGTGCGCGGTGCAGATGTACTACGAGGTCGGGGTGGTCAAGAAGTTCCAGGTTCCTCAAGAGGTGATCTAGGCGCGCCTGCAGCGTGGTACTGTAGACCGTGTCATGAACCCCCCCCCGAGCATGAACGTGATCACTCGCTTCTCTGCACTCAGGTGCTCGTTCGCTTCTTGTACTCGCTCAGTAAAGGCTACAGAAAAATCACCTACCACAACTGGCGCCATGGCTTCAACGTGGGGCAGACCATGTTCACGCTGTTGACGGTATAGTGCTTTGATTTGTTACCATTTGAAAATGGAATATTTAACTTTACGTTCCGTATCGTCGACTCGGGCCAAGAAATCTATGTGAAAAATGTGCGCTTGATTTGTTGTGACCACCTTGTCCGAGTGCTCAGACGGGAATGCTGAAGCGGTACTACACTGACCTGGAGGTGATGGCCATGATAACTGCGGGCTTCCTCCACGATCTCGACCACAGAGGGACCAACAATTTGTACCAAGTCAAGTAAGTGCTCCTTTCCTAGTGGAAAAAAGAATCCTTCCTATGACATCCAAAACTGAAAGGAGACATGACAGCAAAGTGTTCATTTTAGGACACAGATTTCAAAGCACATGTTAACACTTTGATTTTGGTTTTTGTGAACCTGATTTAAATGTTGTTGGTAATGAGCGACATGGTAACCCAAATGAGAAATAGGCTACTTTGAAAGAGGAAATGTTGGAATGGTTGGAATGTTGTGTATAATTCACTTAACATCTGAGGGATTTCCCTATTTCCCCCCCCCACAAACAGATCTGGCAACCCTCTGGCCAAGCTGCATGGCTCCTCCATCTTGGAGCGGCACCATCTAGAGATGGGCAAGTTCCTCTTGGCTGACGAGGTGAGAAAGGAGAGTCAAACTCCACCTGTGCGCTACCGCGTCACCAGCTTTGACCGATGCCCATCTCTCTCATTTCATCCGCAGTCACTGAATATCTACCAGAACCTTCACAGGCGACAGATAGACCATGTGATTCATCTAACGGACATCGCCATCATCGCCACTGACCTGGCTCTTTATTTCAAGTCAGCACAGTCTCTCATTCACTCACATCTACTTGTTGATTCCCTCGTTTTTTAGCACTTTCTCTCATCTTCACGCTTTAACGATGATGATAAATGGTAAAACAGCTCCTCTCCTCCTGCCCTGATAGGAAAAGAACCATGTTCCAGAAGATCGTGGACCTTTCACACACATATGAGGATGAAAAGAAGTGGGTCGATTTCATGTCTCTAGAAACAACCCGCAAAGAAATCGTCATGTGAGTACAACGAGCGTGTACAATGTACTGTGTCGTTTTATATTTCTTGATCTTCTGAATATAAATACATATTTATTTTTTTAGGGCTATGATGATGACCGCATGTGATTTGTCAGCCATCGCCAAGCCTTGGGAGATACAGAGCAAGGTGAGAAGCAGGAGAATCTTTATGAATGTGTGTCTCACTGAATGTGATCTGCTTTTCTACCGTCTGTTTACTTCTCCGGTCGTCTCTTTCAGGTGGCCTTGTCCGTAGCAGCAGAGTTTTGGGAGCAGGGCGACCTGGAGAGGTCGGTACTGGAGCAGGAACCTATTGTGAGTTGACAAAGGGCCGTCGTGTTTGCCTTTGAATCCGTGTTAAAAGTGTGCATACGTAGAAGCACATAAAAAAAAATGTAGGCCGTTAACGTACGTGTGGAGTTAATCATTTCCTCCAATTTATTTGCTTTGCTATGTCTGCTTTACTATGACCGACTTTCCAAAAGACAAACATATTTAATTGCAAATTTTATTATTATTATATTATATATTGAAAGGCAGCAAATGCTGAAACTAGAACATTTTAGTTATTTTTGCCCACATTTCTGTCTGCCACCTAATCATTAAATAAATTAAATATATATAACTATATTCCTGTATGTGAACACGATCAAGTGACACGTGTACTTTCTTTCCCTCCCACCAGCCCATGATGGACCGGAACAAGTCAGCAGAACTACCGAAGATGCAGTGTGGTTTTATTGACTTTGTCTGCACGTTTGTCTATAAGGTAATTTAAATGAATGCTTTTAGCTGATTGCATGTTTTTACAAAAAGCAAATATTCTATTTAGTATATATTTAGATGTTTTATTCTTTGTATAATTTTGTACATAAACCAAAATAAGAGCACAACCGCTCAGTTACTTTCATCGGAGAAGGAACCTCGACTGCTCTTTTTCCATCCTTGCAAACCTATTTGATTTAAATTTGTACGCTTTTCTTCTCAGGAGTTTTCACGCTTTCACCCACAAATCCAGCCCATGCTGGACGGGATCCTAAATAACAGGAAGGAGTGGAATGCTAAGAAAGAAGAGTATGAGGCTAAACTCAAAGCCATAGAGGATGAGAAGGCTGCAAAAGGTGCACCCGCTGGCGGTAAAGGTGAGGTACTTCTTTGAAATAACTAAACTGTGAAGTTCATCAGAACTGCTGCCATGACGTTTGAATAATTTCAGTCACTTGTGTGCCATCGGGTGTCCCCTGATATTCTGTATAATGTAGAGCAAGTGCCACCATCCCAAAGGAACACTACAGATAACTTTTTTAAATCGGTTGTTTGAAGACTGAAATTGTGCAAAGGTGAAAGAACAAAACGCCTAATTATGTTACTGATCCACAAATATATTGACTCTTACTTTGTTATGTTTTCGTTTATCAGGTCCTGCAAACAGTGGTGGAGGCTCCAAGACCTGCTCGCTGTGCTAAAAGGGCAAACACGTACACACAGACGGCTCATGGCGGACTGACTGCAGAATGATTTGGGCGCCGCGGCTGACCAGACGTTCAGTTTGACCGCCAAGAAAGTCAGAAAGGCGGACACGAGGGTGAATGGAAAGCGCTGTAGTATTTCTCCAGGTGAAATGGTTCCGATCAAAAAAGAGGAAAGAGAATCCTCACGGAGAAGAGACGTTTTATCTTTAAAAGACATTTACCAGGTGAGCCGAAAATTAGTTGAAAAGCAAAGCGGGACACCGGCACATGTTTACTTTAAATCATGACAACTTTTACTTTAATTAAATAGGAATCAAGAGTACAGATACATTTTGAATCTCAGGTTTCTACTCTCTCTCTCATACAAAGCCGTGTGTGTGTGTGTGTGTGTGTGTGTGTGTGTGTGTGTTTGTTTGTTTTATATGTATTAATACGGTTCCTTTAACTTAGTTATAAAGTTATTTGTACATAAATCTGGTTAGGAACAGCTACTATATCCACTACATAAAATGTATAAGTGTATAAACGTTATCCAAGTAATTATTTGCTGCAAAGTCTGTCTCAGTGTAGATTCTATATCATGTTTCAAACTGTTTTCAAACATAGTTTATATTGTATATTCATGTAATAATAATTTAGGGGTTCAGAATGTAAATTTATTACTGTACATATATTCAAATTTGATGTCCCCTCCTTCCAGTCACTTACCATTTACACATGAGAGTCTGTTTACCTTGATTGCAGAGAGCCAAAGGTAGAGGAGGAGCTTGAGATTGCTGCAGTAAAACATGTATATATTTTAGGAGAAATGGGCAAAAGAAATTTTCTGTAACTGTCTGTAAATATGCCTTTAGTTGCTTAAGCACGATGGCTTCGTCCTGAACATACATCTGAGAGTAGCTGAGAATGTTATAAATATAAAAAAACATGTATTTTTAAATTACAGCATATTAAATCCCAAAAATTGTCTGGTTCCTTAGCAGATTAATTAGCCATGACCTGAATGCTTGGACATGAATGGCTACTTTTTAAGCCATTTCTCTACACAAAAATGTCCCACTTATTACTTATTAATCCCTGATGGGAAATCGTCTGCACTGGTCCATCCTATATAGGAGGTATTTACTGTAGCTATCAATGATGGGTTTAAATGAGAAAGGAAAGGGAACATAATGTACAAATGTGGAGGACGCATCAGCTCAATAATCTGAATCAAGGTCTGTTGGGAGGAAACCTTGCAAACTATTTGTGTTTCATCATCCAGCAGCTTTAAAGTACGGCAGACGTCTAAAGCTGATTGAGACAAACTTCTTGTAACGATTTGTACATGCTTCGTTCCTCCTTGTAAATACAAACAAAAATATGTTTGTAGTTCAAATAGAAATGCTTAATTTTTGAATAGTGAAAGTGTGATTTGTAAAATTGGCAAATTAGTAAAAGTAATTTCTCAATTACGTAGGGATTGAAATACTGTTTTTATTTTGCTTGCCTAAATAAAAAAGTATCACCAGGTAATATTAGGTAAAACATGCACCTTCATTTGCTGCAAACATACCGATTAACATGTTTAGGTAGACTTATTTTATTTCATGCAGTGTTTTAAAGCTTGCCACTTGAAAGGTTTTGTGTGAAATAATCACAAAAATAAAGCAAATGTATTTTTTAAACGGAGTGAATTGATTTCCTAGGATCCAGAAATGGAAACTTAAACCAAAGTGTATGTGCTAATACAGACTGTTAGTGGTAACTATTCACTTAATATAATATTTTAGTGAGTATGAAATGTACTGTAAGCCCTTCGGCTGCCACTTGGCCATCACAATTACAATAGCGCTATACGGTGGGGGAGAGTTCACGATGAAGGTTACAATATGACACAACTCACAGGGACATTGAGGGAACGATTCTGTCCACACTGCACTCTCTACTACTGCTCCCTGACCCCAATCCTGGGATTGCTGCTAAACCAGGCCAGGATTACTACCATGCTCATCTCCTGCTGAAGGACGGGTACACACTCAAACTCACACAGGGTAATCACAAGGTGGTTCTTGTGTGCTGCAGTCTATTCGGTCTTGTATTACGTGCAACTAACAAACTAAACCTGAAGACTGACTTGCAGAGGTTGATTGTTTAAAATATTTTTTCCATTTTATTGTGAAGACTGACTAAAAAAAACAACAACACTTTGATTAATACATAAAAAATATGTTTTTGTTTATTGAGTTTAGGACCACTATGTCCTAACGGGTTTGGAGTTCATTCATTTCAAGATGGAGTCAGAATTAGCTGTAGAGAGGAGAGAGAGAACAGGAGAGGGAAATAAGTAACAAGACATGGCTTTGGAATAGTTGTTGCTTCATTGACATAAACAGGAGCAAAGAGACTGTACCTTCAGCCAGTTGTTTGTAGATGCGCTCCTGCTCCTCTCTGATCTTCTTCTCGGCTTCCTCAACCCTCTTCTCCTCCTCAGCAATGGGCTTTAGGTAATCTGAACAACACCATTTCAAAAACAAACCCCAATAGACGGTTAAAAGTTTAACACTGTACAATCTATTCTTGTACGTAATTATAGTATACATCTATATTCAAAAAATATATGTTATTGATAAATGTACTCAATCCAGGCAAATGTACAACAAATCAATTAAACGTATCTCCTTTCTAAAAGTAAGTCTAGCCTATGTTTGTTTGTTGAGTTATATGAAGACTCTTAAAGGGCTATAAATGCATTCCTTTGGATATGAAATTTCATTTTAGTTTGGAACAATAACGCTCGGGCGGCGCATGCGCAGACATGAACTTACCGAACCTCTGTTTGCCATAGAACATGCCGAGCAGCAGAGCGGACCACCGGGCCGTCTGAAATAAAAAGGTTATTTAGGGTTAGGCATAGGTCATTTAGCATAATCTGCTGAATACGTGTTAATAGTTAAGTTTTATTTTCTTTAAAAACGTTCTAAGTACCAACTGCAATGCACCTCGTTGACGCGACTGTGTTCAACTTGCTGATATATAACGTTATATGCAGTTTCTTCCTTCAGTTGTGTCCTTGTCAATGTCACGGGGTGCAGTGCTGCTCATCCTATAATAAAATAACGCCCAGTGGACGTTACAGCAATAAGAGGAGCGAAGTTCGCTCTCTGACCCTTCTGCTCTTCAAGTGGACAAAGCTAACGTTAGCGGAGTTAGCATTCATTAGCCGTTAACTGAAATGCCACACCGGGATCAGTGCAGCTCTACAAAGAGTTAACTTAACTAAGCTAGAATCACGAACTCCACATCAAACAGATGTGGACGATTTCCCCAAGTTTGGCCTCCAGCTGTTTGTCCTCGGAGAAATGCCCAAGCCTGTCAATGTCACTGCTAGCATTAGCTAACATGCTACTCTTGCAACTGACATTAACATTAACCTGCAAATGCAGGAAAGGTGACGTGTTGAATCAGTTAATGCCTCTTAACTGGACAAACTCCCAATAATGGCATTTTAAGGGGGACAAATGTTATAATTACCTTTATGAGCGGCGACACTGCGACTGGAGGAACCATGGTGAAGCTGGGAAGTGAATAACTTCCGGTCAGAGCGGAAGTACTTGTCTATTCGTTGTTTTTTTCTTTGACACCACCGGGGCTAATGAGCTAGCTAATGAGCTAGCATCACTGTTAGCCACACGTCATTCTGAAACCTAACATTCCTAACGTTTTATTTCATCAGCCACAGATTGTGATAGTTGACTAACGTTAGCTGCTGTTGAGAATAAGCTCATCAATATCAATAATTAAAGATGGACATTATTCACGATTGTTGTTGGAACTGTTCTATGTTATGTGCTTATGTTTTTATATGTTTCTTGTGTGGAGGGCAATGGAACAACACGAGTGGAATTCCATGTATGCGTAAGCACACGTGTCCAATAAAGCTGATTCGGTTTCTGATATGGAGTCTTATTTAAGGCGATACAATCTATTTGAAATATGTGCCAGTGTAGCAGGATGACTGCTTTTCCAGTGGCTCCGCCCACTCGCAGTATTGTGCCCCTTTAATTTATTATATAAGGAGGGACCTGTAGATCTGCTCGCTCTCTGACAGCTGATACGCACCTCCCCCTTCCGGGTTTACCTGGCTGCAGGTTCGGCAGACGCTCGGCACTCTCTGCAGGGTTGTGCAAATTGTTCCACCGTGCAGGTATGTTGCAGTCTATTGCGCGTCGGCGATTTAGTCTGCACCGTAATAAACTTGCGTTTATGTGCAGGCGCTGGCAGGTCGGACTGCGTGTTTGCTCGTTTTGTCCCGGAGCTATGCCACGCTGAGGTCCCGACTGCCCTGACCCGTTTTGGACTGCTGCTGCTTTGTGTGGGGATAAAACCCACACTTTTTACGGACCTTGCCTGCTGCTGCGTTCGGGTGTGGAAATCCCGTTGTCCGCATTTTTATGCCTATTGTATTATGTTTTCATGTTTAGCTGCCTGAAATAGGAGGTGGATGGCAAGGGAGATTTTTCTTTATTATTTTTGTAGCTATTTTTGATTATTTGATGGTTTAGTTCTTTGAGTTCAAACTGTAACCTGTTTTGATATTTTCCTTTCTTTTTGATTTGTATTGGATCTCTATTGTTGTTGAATTTATTTTCAGTCTCCCATTAACTGTCCATCTTTGTGATTCCAGGTGCTGAGGGCCTCACTGGTGATCCTGTTTGGTGATGGTGTCCCTTCGTGTGTAGTGTCTTATTCACTCCCCTCCTTTGTTTTGCTTTGCCCTTGTGTGTTTGGAGTGTTAATTTTGGATTGTGGTGCTCCCATTTTAAGTTTATACTTTCACCCCTCACTCACCTTGAGCACAAATGCCCCAGCCCTGGAATACATGATAATTTATACAAATAGGATAACTTTTTTAGATTTGAATTGTGCCCAATAAACTGTTGTATATGCTTTTGGAAACACGTCTCTCGCCTGCTCAGTGTAACGAACTTGTGTTGTCCTTTTGTTTAGATTTAGTAATTTACCTTATTCATAGATTTCTTTCTTTTCCCTGGGTGATTTCTCCCAGGGTGGCGTTGCTGGTTTCCTTTAGTTTCTTTCTTTTTCCCCTAGTTAAAAACATAGATTATTGGGGTAGTTCCTACCCCACCTCACGCTTGCCACACCAGCTACAGCCTGCGTACCTCTCCTCTCCACACTGAAAGAAAATACTTTTTCTTAAATTCCAAAAATGCCAGTATGTGGTACAAATGGCTGCCACCAGATGTCCCTTCTTCCCATTCTTGCATTAAACTGCACAGAGAAGTGATGATTGAGGCGTTGGAATGTTTCTGGGAAAAGCCTGTTTAAAGCCGGTCTTAAGTTAACCTGCGCATTTAACACACATCCTAAAAATGTACATGCACCACACGACAGTAGATCTATTGTTGATGAACTGATAACAAATAAGGCATTGTCTTTATAGCAGACAGGCTCCTACTTTAACAACGGGACAAACCTAGATGTAGAGAAAAACTTTATGTTTTATGTTATGTTTATCACATTTGTATGTAAAGTATTATACAGGAGCATTCACACTAGAACAGTTGTTTCGTCTGCATGTTGATCTTTTGACCCCCCTGGGTGAGTTTGGGAGCAACAGGTTGAAATGGAGTATACACACAGTTCCATATCGTGGACATTAACTTAAGACAAAATAGCAAGTAATGTTAACAACTTGTAGCTATTATTATAAAATTACAAAACACAGTACAAGGTTACAAGTGAATGCTGTTGTGGTTGAAGGCAGACTGATATGCAAATGCACTCCAACAAATGTTTCCCTCTTGACGTACTGCTTGAAATAGGAACCCATCAAATTGTTTCATTTTGTTGTTTTTAAGGAAACAAATGAAGAAAGAATCCAGTTCACTGAATCATCGCCACCTTGTCCATATTACGGAAACAATTCCAATGGTCATTGATAAATAAAATGACAATTCTGTATGATGATCACGCGCCAAATTCCCCCAAAAATGAGTCCAAATGTATTATTGATAAACATAATAAATAACAAGAACAATATCAATTTAAAAGAAAAAAGAAAAACCATTGCAAGATGTTTCTAATCGTTGTCATAGATGCAATCTGAAATGAAAATGTGATTTAAAAAAAAAAAATTAAATTAGGTCTGGAAATTCATCAATAACAAATGTATATCAAATGACAAAAGATTAGCAATGAACCACACCGTTACCTTCTCCAATGTCATCGTAGATGTCTCCATCACTGTGAACAGAAACAAAACGATCAGCACCGTCAGCGCATCGTTAGTTGCTTTTGGGTTTCTCGTGTGAATGTCGGTACTCACTTCATATCCACGTGGCTGGTCGATACGTAGCCAACTGTAAAATGTACACAGTAGAATTCTGAACACGTGTTTTAATTGTATTTTCTTTGCTAACACAAACAAGAAACAGGCAGAAGACACTCACACTTGCCGTCCTCGTTACGGCAGATCAGCTTGTTGTCCTCGGCTTTCACGATGACGTCAAGTTGCTCTCCTGCTTTGACTGGAAGCTCTTTGGGACCCCACTTCTTGTTGGTAAGTGTCGGGGAGATGGTCACCTGGTACAGCGCCTGTATCTCCCCGTCATACTGAAAGAGAATGACATCATCCATGCAGTTTGGTTTCAGCGGGTGGGATCCTGGTAACACCGACATGAATGTGATCTAAGATGTAATAAAATAACAAACTTTAAACTTTTTTCTGAAGTCCTTCTCCTCTTTCTCAAACTTTTTCTGCTTCTTCGGGTCCATCTCTTCCGTCTTGCTTTTTCCTCTCAGTGGAATGCTGGAGAACAAAAGCAAACTATTGTTTGTGTGCTTCATATTTTTCTTTGAAACAAAATGTGTTGCCTGAGACACACTTAGCATCTATTCATCTATCCTATCTTTAATAAATAATTTAATTCATCTTAACCTGCTGATGGGGGGAAGCGGAGGAAGATTTTGAGAGTCAACATCGTCGTATATCTCATCGATTGCTCCTTCTACGGGATCTGTGACAAAGCGTGTGAGAAGTCAGTGAGTTTTTACTTTAAGACTCTGGCCATACATTTAGAGGGGGAACATTTGAATCTCACTATATGTATGTAGCCTAAATATGTATATATACACATAAATGTATACAAACATTACTTATTTGAGATCAAATGCAAAGTATAGAAAAAAAAGCTCACCACTGTGAGTGAAAAAGGAAAACAAAAACAAAAGAAAAATGAATTAAAAATAAATAAATAAATGAGGTTGTTAAAATTGAAAAGAATGTGGTATCTTTCATTTAAAAAAAAATCAAAAACAAAGGTTGTATTATCACGGAGATCAATACCTGACTTCCCTTCTGCAGGTGGGGGAGGCAATCTGGCACAAAACAAACCATTCAAATGTTACAGCATTTTTATCATTAACTAAAAGTAAGATAATACGATTCACAGCAACCGAAAATTAATAATCACATTCATGATTTGACAAACAATATTTAAATACTTGAAGATGTGATTTTTCTCATGCATGCAGGCAGGCAAATTAGAAGATTCGTTAAATCACAGATAATCCGTTGCACTGATTGTAATCACTGAAACAACATCAATTTAACATGCTTCGCTGCTGTTATTCAGTAAGGTCTGATCTGGGGAAAAAAATCAACATTAAAAGCGACTTCATCTGAGAAGAACCGTCAAGCCGGTCGAAGGGGAGCGGCGGTTGAATGATTAGGGGGTTAAAAAGAGTCGACAGTCGGTCTGTGATCGGTCTTACTACTGAGTGTATTTTACACTTTAGTGCTGACAAGACGTCTGCTCCGCTCAAACATCCGTAGGAAGCTACGAGGCTTCGTGGGAGAAGACCTAGAGTCCAGGGTACTAGAGAACCAACCAAGAATGAAAACACCTGCAATTCTTTCGGCTTTACATTAACAAAAAATTCCCTCCTGTCTCCAAGAATTCTGTACTGACAACAACAACAACAACAACAACAACAATGCCCATTCACCAACTATTTGTAAATATTCAAATCAGTTCCCACCTGTCTTCCGCGTTCGGATCAATATCGTCATATATTTCTTCATCAACTTCTGGTGGCAGAGGAAAGACAGTTACTGGACAACAGCAAAAATATTACATGGCTGGTGACATGTTTTGTCTCAGTGAAACAATCTTGAATTAAACTGTAACTGGATATGATGGAACACATGATGCTATTGAAAGCTTTGAAGCGTACCTCCTGGCATCCCACTGGAGAGAGAGAGAGAGAGAGAGAGAGAGAGAAGATTTTAGTAAACCTACTAGTTCCTCACCATAGATTATGAGATATATGTATACTGTATATATCATATATAATTCAAGACCTTTTATCAGGAACGGTCACGTCGATGTCATCGTATATCTCTGGCTCGGACGCCAGCTGAGTTGAACGATTCTTCAGCGTGTTAAAGTCAATTTCTACTGAAGTGGTCTTCACATAACCGACTGTTGGAAATAAAGCGAAGAGTTAATATAAAATGTTTTAATGTAATTGATGTCATTTAAAGTAATTCATGCCGTATTTACAGCTTGGACTGAAAGGATGAGATGATTATGTGAACTTACTGGATCCATCCTGCGACCGTCCCAACCACCTTCCCTCTGGGTTTCCCTGCACACGTATGATGTCCAGGTTGTCTCCCTGCTTCAGAGCAAGGTCGTTCTTACCGCCCCGGCAATCCACAAGAGCCTTCCCTTGGTGGATGACCTCCAGGAAGCCGACCAGCTAACACATGTGCAAACACACAGATAAACAAAACGATCAAAAGAAACATTACATTCATTTCAGTCCTACATCGTTTTCACAAAGAGTCCGAACACACATTTAGTTTTGTTTTGTTTTCTCACTTTGAATTTCTTTTTGGCGTCTAGTTCCTTCTTCTCACGTTCCTTCTGCTCTTTCTTCTCAGCCTCCAGTCTTTTTTTCTCCTCCTTGTCCTCTTTGTCCTTCTTCTTTTCTTGTTGCTGTTCGACCACCTCCCTTTTGAAAACGAGAGAGAGGAGACAATGGCCGGTGATTCTGAATGTGAGAGATTGATACATAAACACCTCCGCTTACTGGTCGACACAGGTGAAGATTTAATGAGGAACGCTCTCTCTCTCTCACCATCGCTCATCAAGCGCCTCATACATGTCTCCGTCACTACTGTTACCATCGTCCTCCTGGGCCTAAAAAAAGGAAGCAACATATATGTATGTATGAATCTCATGACGTTTGTACTGGACGTCCCACAAATGCAAAAATGTATTGCACATTTTTATATATTTACATAAATTTGTACAGCTACACTTCAGTATGTAGCGTGAAGCATCACCTTTCATACGACCCAAAGGTCAGCAATGGTTCTGAATGTGCATATTGTCTGTTGTAGCTCCGATGTATGGAAGCTCATTACCGCCCAAAAAGAAATGAAGGGATGGAAAGTGAAAGATGACTTACGTTTCTCATAATTTAGATTTTTTAACTCATTTAACTCAACTCTTCCTCTCAATCCCTTCCATCCCTCCATTTCTTTCTTTTAGTGGCGGAAATGAAAAGATGTTGCGTTCAGTGGAGAGGAGTTGACATTTTATGCTGCACAGCTCCAGTTTCTTCATGTCTGTTTTTATCTGAGTATGTTTGTGCATCTGCTCATGTGACTGTATTCAGATCTGCATTTATGTAAAAGTAAATCATCATGTCTCACCTTTGCCCTGGATGGATGACCTACGGAGAAACAATGAATCCACATTAGCCTTGTGCAAAACCCACGAGCATCATGATCTGACTCATCCTTTAGATTTGACAATTCTTACTCTGGTATTTCAGTAACATTCAGACATTTAGAAAATGGCTTAAAAAATGTCTCTTCCTTCTGAATTATGTAAACAACATGTATGTGCTACGTATAAGTCAATTCATACAAAAAGAAAAGTTGTGTTATGCAAAAGTATAGAAAACAACCACCCCAAAGCAGTTGGTGAGACTAATTAAACACTAACAGGATATGCCCTCTGTAATAGCTCCGTCTATGTGTGCCGTAGATAAGGTGCGAGTTTCAGCAGTCCTCGTCTGTCTTCCTGTTGTGCAGTTAACATAGAAGTCTTGCCGCATCTTCTTATGACTCATCACATTTGATCAGACAGTGGTGGTATACCGGACCTGCCGATGGTGGCAGAGGTGGAGGAGCGGGATGGTCAATGTCCTCATCCTGCTGGGGCCTGAAAAACAGAGTCACGGTTCAACTGGAGAAGCATTCTCTAGAAAGCACACAGCGTGTCTGTGTACATTGTATGTGCGTGTGTGTGTGTGTGTGCGTGCGTGTGTGTGTGCGTGTGTGAGTTTTACATGGCTCCGGGGTGTCGTGGGGGCAGAGTGGGTTGAGGTGGGGTCACATGGTTGCTGTGGTTACTGGCGTTAGAGGCCAGAGGGGTGGAGGTGATTGGTTTCTTAAAGGCGCCTGGAACTGTAACAAAAACACACGGTGCCAAAAGAGGAATTAGAGCAGGTGTACAGATGAATAAATAAATAAATAAATAGATTTATCAATCCTCAGAAGGTTGATTAGTTGCCTGCATGCAAGATGAGTCCAAACAAACACTAGATGACAGCGTGAGAGCAGTCTATTATAAAGAAAAAGTTTATTTTGAATTTAATTGTCATAGAAAATGTACTAAAATATTTAAAAAGTGGAAATACTCAAGATGGAGAAGAAGTCTCCCTTTCAATGTTGCTCTATCTAATATTATTGCATGATTATTAGTGATACATTACTGTATAATACATGTTTTACTGGTGGAGATGGTACTGATTTTACTGCTTTATAAATCAATATCAGTAAAATCAATAAAGTCAAGTCACTAATGGAGTAAAAACCTTAGCATGTTATAAAGTAGCAAGTATAAAGTAGCCCAAAAAAGAAAATAGAAATATAGAGGACCTACAAATTGTATAGTACTTAAGTAAATTAAATGTAAATCAGAAACTATACTTAAATATCAAATGTGGCGACAACAAACGTGTTATTTTTGGTCTTAAGTCTTCCAGCATGTTTTGATGTGATTCAGCCGCAGGGATTCCTTCACCTCGGACTGGGAATCGATTCAGGTCAGGTGGGTGTTTTAAAAGCAGAGCTCTCGTTCGAAACCATCCCTTCTTCGCTGGGACTCACTTCCTCATGTGGTGAAACAAAACTCTTCTGTCAGAGCAGAAAACGAGGGGGGAAGAGAAAGGAGAAACTGGACAGGGAACTTGGCCGGACCAAATAGAGGAACCAAGGGTGTTACTGTGACTTAAGCCCTGAATAGTTTTACTGCAACTTCGGTGAGACTTTGTGGCCTAAAAGAAATGTAAAGTCCGCTCTTGTATGGACATTTCTTGCTACGAATAATCTACTTATTGCTGACGTCATCAACACGCACCACATTAACTTGTAGAGCAAGACATTTTCACCCGTTAGTGGTGATTGTGATAGATAGAGATATTAATTAATCCTCTTCACAGCAAGCGCCTTCACGCCTTAAGAGAGAGTGTTCGTATGATTCTGAAACAAATAACGCTCAAACCGTGTGCGCTGTTTGGTTTCCTGCATTTGTTATGCTTATAAATTGTGAGCAGACGTAATAAAACATCAGATGGAAAACAAGGGCTGTGGATGGATCTGGATGGAGTTGAAGTGCTTCTTCTTGTGGGTTTACATACGTGTACCTGCGGCAGAAATACTCTGCTCAATGCTCAAACTCAGGTCAGGTCATTTCCCTGCTGTCACGGTCATGAATTAGATGGGAAGTAATACCAAATGCCTCTCTTCAAACCGTTTGATGATTCTCATTCCATTTTAAAAATTTATAGTGTTTAATTAGTTGATAAGTTAGTTACGCTGTATTTATTAAAGTCTCATTACTTATATTAATGGCACCTATCATCAAAAAAGAGACGAGCACTGAAAGAGGATTTACCGTGTAACCAATTCATTCCTCTTATGAATTGTCAGTTGTTGTTTTTTTTCAGCTGACATCTATTAAATTTCACGGCCCAGACAAGATTCATGAAGCAATCGTTTGGGTTTTAACTATAAAAATACTATTTACTAGATATCAATAGGGCAATACCGATGAAGGAACCCACTAAAAGACTTTTTAGTTCTCAGATAAAGGCGCAAAAATCAACCTGTAAGAGCCCTTCACAGTAAAAACAGGTAAAAGTCAGTTAAATAATGACTGCTTGCTGGAGTTTATCCGTGACACCAAATGTGTTGCCAGAGTCAGTTAAGCTCGTATCATTTCAGTGCAGCCTGTGTGTTTACGACGCAGAGACAAGTGATTTAGTTTGTGAAACATATTCATTCATTACGAGAAGCGTCATTTTTCTTTTTCGGAAATTAAGCCTCACTCACCATGTTCAGAGGCCACGGCGCCTGTTTTGAAGCTCTCCAGGTTGACCCTGATGGGTCGGTTGGGCTTGGCTGGAGGGGGGCCCAAAGCCAGACTGTTGGGCAGGGGGTTACGCTTGGGGCCTGAAGCATCATCGCTGACGTTGCTGCCAGGCGAAAGGTTTCGAGGTTTCTTCAGGCTGGGCTTTTTACTGGGTAGTGGTTTCGGAGGAGGGACGGCGTTGGCGACACCGGGGGGCGGTTTGTTGGCCCAGTCTGCTTTGCCGTCGCTATCCGGCTCCTTGTTCGAGTTGCTCTGAGCAGTCCTGAAGTTGGACGAGGGCCTGAAGGTGGAGCTTGTCGGTTTGTTGGCGGCGTTCGGGACGCCCTCGGCCGTCTCCTCACTTTGCAGCCGCAGTTTTACAAAGCTGCTGGGTTTCTTCTGTAAACCCCCGCCGCTGTCTTCTTTCACCCAGCCGGGCTTGGAGTTGAATGCCGGCGAGGGTTTAGGAAAGGCGGGTTTGGAGTCCGACGCAGTGAGCGGGGGCTTCCAACCAGGGCTTTTAGCTTCATGAGCCTGTGGAAGGGGGGCCTTCAAGGGTTTGTTACCAAGGAAAGGCTTTGCGCCGCTGTCATCCTGGATGTTTCCAAACCTGCTAGCCAGCGCTTTAGCTTTGTTTGGTTCCTGTGACTGTGTAGAGAGCTGAAAATTGGGTTTCGGGAGAACATTTATCGCACTGCCTGACTTGCTCTCCAAGGCGGGTTTCTTGGTGGGTGCGGCCGGGCCGGTTGAGAGGGTGGTTTTCAGGGGTAGTTTGATTTGCCCCGCCGGTGAGGAACAAGTCTCATCGACGCTCGCCCCGGCCGCCTGGAAGCGAGCCATCATGGCCTTCACGTCAGCTTTCTTTTCCTGGAGAGGAGCGAAGAGAGGGAAACATCAGAACACACGACACAAAGTGAGAATATTATCGAGTGAAATGCTTTCACCAAAAGAAAGTACTAAAACCATGAGCTGCTGTAAAAGGAGAAAGAGGAAATAAAAGAAAACAAACATAGACTGATGTGAAAGTTTACATAGGAACAGAAAGTTTTAGAATGCCTTGTTTCCCATCTGGGCATTTCCTTCTCTGATTGTTTATCCTATTAGTGCTACTCCTGCTCTCTCTCTGGTTACTTATTTAACGTATCTATTTGTATGTTAAGGGATTCTCTATGATGGAAACTATTAGATAAAACTTTAACGACTCACAGCTAAATATTTTAAATTTTATGGTTCTATAAAATAGATTGGTCATTAACCAGGGACACAAAGAGCTGCCTTACTTTCAGACCTCAGTTCATGTTGACTTCCTGGCACATTCTTCAGCGTAAGGTCAACAGAAGGTGCTTTCGTCAAGTATTTGACCAGAGACATTAACGATATGCCTGTTTTGAGGCTGAATGAACTTTAGCAACTAGTTTATTATGTGTTCCGGGTTGACTTTTTTTTATCCCGCTTTAGTTTATCGAAAGAAGTCTAAAATGTCGCTCTTGTCTCTGGCATGAATGAATGAGCCATTCAAACACCTGCAATATAAAAATCTGCACCAAATGGGGAGCAAAATGGCCGTCATGCCAATGCAAGCAGGTTTGATCAAACTCATGCAGCTGCTTTACAAAGTAACACAATAAACTGACCAAGTAGCAGCCACACATTTCGTAATAAGGCAGGTTTAACTGGAGTTAGCACCATACAAGGAAACGGAGATAAGCGCATGCTATTATACTATAAATGCACTGCATGAATCTAAATGATTAGTTGAACGTCAGATCTTGACACATATTCAAATCACCACCGAGCTATAAGAGTGTAAAAACATTGACATCGGAGTCACAATGTGTTACTGTAACTAGAGTGATCTCAGTTATGAGCAATGAGTCAATATTATCAGTCCGCTGTGGAGAAATGTTTGATGGTTGTAGGTGGGTTCCCTATAGCAGTAGGCCTACAGTTAGCCACACAGCTAACTGGTCCAACTGAGTTGCTGTTTTTTTGGCCTGTAAACAGAAAGGCTTTGGTCAGAGTGGCACCTTAACGGTGCCAGTAACAACATTTGGTGTGGCATAATGAAGTGTGTTCACATGATCGGGCTGCAAATGAAACCGGGGAAATTTCCCTCTGTTTCTCAACTCAAGATAAACTCAAAATGACACAATATGTTCTCTTAAAGACCGTTACAATTACCACTTCTCTAAATGTTTCTGCAGTTGCAGTTTTGTAAAAATAGATTAAGATTTTAACGGCACATCCTGCAGCCAAAGTGACTGTCAAGTACATTTTCTCAAAAGAAACACCATCTATAGTTTCACAAAGGTGTGAATTATTACTGGCCTGTTGTTGTAGACTGTATCAGTTTCAGGGTAAGCAGGTTTCAATATGCTTTATGCAGTCTATTGTTGTTGTGTGTGCTCATGGGGAGATACAGACTACAGCCAAGGGATTGTTAGACGTTCAGCTAGTTTCCATGTTTTGCAAATATAAATGAAAAACCTGCCACCTGCAGGACAAATGTACTGTTATTAATAACAAATACATTTACAGTCAAATTAGCTGCTGAGAAAATAACGAGAGAGGTCGTCTAGTCAAAGCAAAGAGGAACCTTCATGCCATCGTGATCAAAATGAGACAGGAGACAAGTTGTCTTTCTCGATCTAGTTGACACCACCACTAAAAATACTACTCTAATTACGACCACTTTTTAAACATATCTATATGAAGACATGAAACAATTCATGAATAAATGGCTACAGTGACTTTGTATTCGAAGTACTGTTGATGCGAGCCAAGTATTTAAAGATAATAGATCCTCTCTAATCATACGTGCAGAAACATTTGTCGTGCAGAAACATTTGTCAAATAAATAGATACGGCAATGGCTGTTTGAGGGTGTTGTTAGATATAATATAGAATTGTAATCCATTCATAAAAGGTTATTGTATTAATTGAAATTTTAAAAATGTGGTTAAAGGGAAATGTACAGTTATTGATCTTGATATATTTACAGTTGACAGTTAGGTTGTACTCACCATGTTGATGGCAGCAATCCACGCGAAAGCTGCTTCGTCCGAACGGGTGCTGTCAAAAGTGGTGTGAAGTGTGAGTTTGTTCAGTGTGAGTTAATGTTGCTGTCAAAGAGAGAGAGAGAGGCAGAGAGAGAGAGAGGAGGGGGGAGAGAGGCAGAAAGAGAGTGAGGGAGGGAGGGGAGAAAGAGAGAAAGAAAAGAAGGTGACCGAGATAAAGTGAATAAGTGACAAAGAATGTGACAAAGCATTAGGTGTATCCCGTCTGCATTTGTATGTAGTTGGCGGGTGGACACTTCTACATTAGACGACTACTTCCTCTCCCAGTGGGGGGTGTGTGTGTGTGTGTGTGTGTGTGTGTGTGTGTGTGTGTGTGTGTGTGTTTGTGTTTGTGTTTGTGTGTGTGTGTGTGTGTTTGTGTGTGGGTGTGTGTGTGTGTGTGTGTGTGCGTGTGTCTGTGTGGGTGGGTGTGAGAGCGCCTCAGTCTCTGTTATCTGTGTGTGTTGATCCCATGGATTTGCCTAGACCTGGAAGTTTCCCTGCAGTCTCCCTCTGTGCCCCCCCCCCGTGGCACGGCAGCAGAACGGAACACTGTTAGACTGGTTCCTTTACCGAACACTTCAAACACGCTGACACATTTTGGGGCAGAAATCAAACTGTGACCGGACTAAAAGCTACATGTCCTTATTTAGCAGGAACCACACACAGAGCCTGAGCATTAAAATGAAGTAGCTTCACCTTGGGGGACTTCCTGTTGTCGTCATGGTTGTATTTTCTTCACGTGATTATTTCATACGTGTTGGCAGATCAAAACAGAATGAGCTTTTAAGGTTTATTACACTGGTGCCGGTTTAGTCATCTGCACGTTATCGTCACAGGTATTTTTTGTTTGTAATTTCTTTTTTTTATTTTAAAAGTAAAGTGTTGAATTGTATCAATATTTGTTTGTGACAGTCATTGTGAAAGCTAAAATTTGTTTGCGAACAAAACAGTTTGCGATTGAAGGTGTGCTTCTGAGGTCATCTGGTATCGATTCAAAATGTATTACTTTTTAACAGTAATGTACACAACCAAATAAAAACAATCCATCGAAACAAAAACAGTAAATTGAAAATTGTAAAGAAAGAAAATTGTATGTCAGTAACTTTAGCGGTGCTCTGGGTCGCTGACAGCAAACGCCAGGAGACTTTCATCATTGGACTCCACGTGAACCTGCTGCATTAAGGCTCACTGTGGGTGGTAGCTTGAAGAATCTCACCAGGACCTTTTTCCCACCGCATCACAAAGTAATCTGTCTCCAATCCACCTGCCCGCCGTCTGCTGTGACCTGAGGGAGGGGCCTGCAAACCTGATCGTTCCTGTTATTCGGGCGAAGCAGCCAGATCGTCAGTCTGACGCTTCAAGACATTTGCAGCATCAATGCTGGTTATCGTAAAGGTTTCCGATGTTGCAGAACTGCTGCGCTTACATCCAAATTTAGGCCTCTGTGTTGTACGCTTTCACATACAATTCCCCCTAAACCTAAAATTCCCCTAAACCAAAACCTGTTGGTAAAAAATGTATACAAAAATCTTGAACATACAAATTCGTAACAATACATAGGAACTGCGGTGGTTAACCACGCCCCTTGAGTGAACAACATGGCGGTCCATGTCGGATTCTTGAGTGAACGTCTCTCTGCCATGTTGGATTTTTTGAGGGGGTTAGGGTTAGTATTCTATTCTTACAAGTTAACATTGATTTCTCGTTAAAAATGCAATTATAACACGTTTTTTTTTACATCGTTAGACTTCACGAAGTGTGTTTACGGGGTGCAGGTCCCCGTTCACTTTGAATAGGGTGACGTCATCAGTTGCAGTATGTATTTATTTCGTATGTATCACTATGAATTTGTATGATTTTCGTATACATTTTTACGAACAGGTTTTGGAGATCAGGCTGCCTAAACAGCATATGTTCGACTCTTGGTTTCACTGAGCATTGCCTTAGGATATTTATGCCGCTGCTATGTCGTATTCACTATTTTCACTACTACTGGGCTTGGTTGGTCCTTATGAAACTGATCGCTCTAGTTACAAAATTATATTTGTGTTTTGGGTGTTATTTGATTAAAAAATGTAGAAAATCTCCAAAAACTGGGAAACTTGCAGTAATATTTTTTTCCCAAAAACTCAAACCTTTTGCAGAAAGGACAAATTGTAATATACCACAGACTAATGTTCTAAAGCATACAAAGAGTCCAGCATCAATAAATCATTGTTTTACCAACCTTAAGGTGGCGCGGTTGTTTGAACACTCAGCGTTAAAGAAAAGAACATCTGTTTTGTTTGCATGGCATCATTTCAACACGGGGACAATTTTTATACGTTACACAGTGAATGTGTTCAATAAAGATTAGAAAGAAAAACTAGAAGGATGCACACATTCTTTTGCTGATTTTTTATTAAAAGTTTCTGCCCTACATTTGAAATGTACACACAATTTACATTTGTCTTTGACAATGTGATTCCTGAACATGTTTCCTGAATCTCACTCCATTGCATCTTCTATCTCCTTCTTGCTCATCATTCCTCTGACCGGCGGTACGAGTACGTGTCGCCCGCCCCGTCTTCCCCATAGCCCGGATAATGCCCCCCCTCAACGCCTCCCGTTCCCCTGTCCTCGGGGCACTGGATCCCGAGTCTCTTCTGCAGCTTCTCCTCCTGGAGCCGCAGGTCCGTGGAGTCCACCAGGTCGTAGATGCTGTCCAGGGACCACATGGGGGACGGGAACCACGCCTCGACGTTGCTGTCCTTCCCCACCACCAGCATGCTGAAGTAGTCCTTGCTGATCTTCAGCTGTTCCCTCAGATCGTTCACCGCGTCGCCGGATAACGGCTCCACTTCACTCTGACTGTGACCTGGTGACGAGGAGTTTGTGTGCTCGATTAAACCAAAGAACAAGGGGATTCCAAAACGCAACTCACAAAATCCTGAAAAAAAACAGTTTAACAAGTTGCTAAATCCGCATTAATATATACAACATTAGCAAAAAATTCCAAGTTGATGTTTCCATTACCTTTCGGGGTGCATTGAACTGCTCCACATTACTGTGACTCACCATTTAGGGGAAATAGCTCAACAGCTCCTGAAGCTTTGTCTCCAGTTCCAGTCAGCTTCAACGTGGCAAAGTGGCGAATACCTGAAGAAAAAACAACAAACCACTCGTGGGTAAATCTGATAGCCAGTCTTTGACGAAGTACTCAGGAAGTACAAGTCCTTCTTTCAATATTTGAAGAATTGCCATAAATGTATACTAAAAGTAAAGATGCTGACATTTCAGAATAATATTATGTTGAAGGATTATTATAATTGATACATTAACCCCATGTAAGCGGGATTTTAATGTTATAACTAAATCTGTGAAAAAAATGTAGTTTAGTTAAAAAAAGTAATGGGGAAATGTAGAAAGTTGAAGTATAAGGAACTACGCAATATTGCACTCAAGCACAGTAGCTTCCCCCCTTTGGTAAATTACTGTGTCAGGCAGCGAAACACAGATTAGTTTTGCATGAATAAGAATGTATCATGAAATACAAAAAGATGCAACACACGTCAGTTACATGTTTGTGCTGAGCGACTGACCCAGGTGACACTCCTGTCCGCTGAGCGCTGAGAGCTGCTGTTGGAAGGAGTAGTCGTCCTCTGAGGGAGCAGAGATGAGCAGCAGCCTCCTCTTAGACACAAACCTAAACATCAAGACACAATGGCCATGTGACTTTAAATGTTGTGCTCCAAGTGAGTGTTATGTGACATCAGTAACATGTTGGATACAACTGAGAACATGGCTATGTGATATCTAATTCTAGATTATTCTAAATAATGGAGAATTAGTAAATTATGGGCAGTGAAGAGTACCTGAGTAGTGAGTTCTGAGCTTCGGGCTTTTGCTTTTCATCAGAGCAGGTCGGGGGACTCCTCCTTTCTTTTTCTTTTTCCAAACGCCTTGAGGGAAAGTTGTCTATGTACTCGAACAGGGCCGGGCCTGAAGGAGGAGCCTCAAATACTTTCTAGGGGAACAATAAATGCTTATCAGACATACCCAGAGAGCGTGGTCTGGTTAAAGTTGTCAGTATTAGGTAGAATACTGAAGGAGAGTGGTGCTAAAAAACAAGCGCGCATGCTTACCAAACCCACATTGAAAAATAAAAGAACAACGCACGGATGTCTTACTTTGGGTTTCATGTCGTAGTCTGTGACGGTCATGGAAAAGAGGTCAGAGGACGACAGGCCGAGCTCCGCTCTCAACAGGGAGATCAGGCCCGAATCGGAGAAATGTTCCGATTGGCCCCTGAGTGCCGGCTCCGACTCTGAGACACAAATAATATATTAATGAATATGTCTGCATACAGAAGGAAGCCGACAAACTATCCGGGAGATCTTATGCGATTACGCGATATAATCTTTGATTCAAAGCTACCATAAAGATGAATTGTCACCTCTTAACAACATCAATGACTATTTAGATATTTATTGCATTGGGTGTTGTGGCATTTTAGTAGTTCGGTTTACGACCAAAAACCAACAAGACAAACGTGTTCCATTCAGGCACGGGGATAGTTTGTGTTTGTAAGCATGCTAATGCACTAAGCCACTAATGGTATGTTGTTATGTATGTATGTTGTTAGCGTGCTAAAAGCAACACAGCTGATAAAAACATCGGAGCATGAGGTGTTGTTTTCCTTTGAAACAGCCGCTATCAGCTGTTTGATCATTTCTTCATTTAAACACCCCACAGCTCAATTACAAAAGTTGGAAACACAATTACAAAGCTTGGAGCTCAATGTTTAAGTACTTTAAGTATCATTGAAGTGGAAAAACATTTTTTTATGATTCTTATGTCCAAACAAATCCCCTCTTTCTGACCTTTGTTCTCTTTTCCAATTTTCCATTCTTTAACAACTTGACTTTTTCCTACACACGTCATATGTAAAAAGACTGTATATCATTTACACATGATTTTCTGATTAGTTGCAACACAGCTCGCTCACAGTTGATCTGTTAAACAAAGTCCGTGTCCCCCATTGACCCAAATACTTCCCGGAACATTTGCACAGTGGTTTCTCCCAGCATGGAAACACATGGACAGACATACGTGTTTTAACAAACTTTTATATTGTTCATTTTTCTTCTTTCTTATGTCATTCTCATATTTTATTTCTATATTGCACCAATGCACCAAGTCAAAATCCTCTATGTGTAACGTACGTGGCGACAAATGGCTTCTGATTCTGCCACACGATACACAAAGGTGTAAACAGCCCTCCTCACCCAGCTGGTGGTGTTTCAGCGTAAGCGTGGCCTCACTTCCCTCCCCCACAACGCTTGCCACGGTGACCTTCCTAACAGCGAGACCGCAGCGCTGCTTCTCGCTGGCGTCTCTCTGCTGCACGTACAGTGTCGCGTCTCTGCTGGGCGTTGAGATCAACTAGTGCAACACACAAACAGACACGTCGCTCCGAAACGGATAGAAGTTTCTGATCAGGTGCAGATTTGTCTTATAGGAGTGACATTTTCTTTCATGCATTCATAATGTGGACGTAGGTCAGGATTACAGATTAAACGCCATGCGGAATTAAAAAATAGACAGTTCTCACCATTAACCTTCTTGTCCCCTTTAAAGCGTGCAAAAAGTCCTTCAGAGCTTTTTTATCCTTCTCACTTGGCTCTCTGTTTGATTTTTTCCCTCGTCCTCTCCCTTTTTTCCCCTTTTTCCCTTTACCCTTCTTCTTGGTTGCATGTTCTTCCTGTGCGCCATCTTTTACGTTCTGCTCCTTTTTATCTTCATTGTCTTTCCCTTCGTTTTTTCTCTTCCCTTCTTCCACGGGGGAGTCCGGCCTGCAGTAAAACCAAACAAAAAAGGACTTTGATGTTCATCCAGCACTAAAAAGGCACTGAGGGGGGCTACGACCTACCAGATGGGAAAACAATATCTCAGCAGGGCTGTAACCTCTACTAAGAATGCTTTGAGAAATGGACCAGGAGTGTTGAAGATGGTACCTGTCTTTCTTCACTTGGTGGTTAGTGCTGGACACAGATGGAAGCCTGTAGACTCTTTCCAGTTCGTTAGAAGACGTGCGACCCCCGCTGCTCGAGTCCTTTCCCCTCGCGGACCCTTCTGCGGGCACCTTACGGATAACGAACCTCGAGCGTCCACTCAGTATATCCTGGATTTTGCTCTTCAGGGCAGCTTTTACGTCCAGGGTAGGTTTTATTTGTAAGGCCACAACGGAAGTCAGATTACCTCGCCTCTGAGGACTCAGGATCTTCTTCTTCATCTTTCTTTTTTTCGTCACAACCTTCTTTTTGGTGGTTTTACACCTAAATAATCAAAAATAATAAAGAAATTGTATTGGAGAGGATTTGTTTAGATGTTTCTGTTATAAATAACTGTAATAATAGGAAGAAACATCTTCTATCTTGTTATATCTTTCCTCCATTCTCTATCAGTACAGGGAATGTCATAGTAGTATAATGAAACCTCAAGTTTGATCCTTTTCTGGTCATCTTCTCCAGCTTCCTCACGGGAAACTGATCAATGAGCTCCAAAATCGCATCGACGCGGACCGGATAAGGGAAGCGCTCACTGACTTGAAGGTTCTTCTTCAGAACCAGCATGGTGAACCCTTGCTCCTGAAATGATGGTCGCAGTATAAATACCAAAGCACAGGTACCGTCATGGGAGGATTAAGTTCATATGGTGATAGTAACTGGTTACCTGGCCGGTAAGCTCCAGGTAGTGCAGCAGTTTGCTCACTGTGTCGGGGTCCAGGCTCTCCACTGTGGCGTCTCCTTGGAAAGTTGTTTTCTGGATTCGACCTTCCATCATTGCATTCTGGATGATGGTGATGATGAATGTGTCTCTTTCTGCCAGACGGCAGTTCAGCCCTTTCTGAAAAAAGAGACGGAAAAAGACAAAGCAGTTCCAGAAAGAGATGGAAAGGATGCGTTCGCCCCCAAAATGAGTATGAATAAGTCTGTACAGTACCTGCTCCATGTCTTCCAACTGTTTTTCCATCATACGAAGGTAGTGGTCATTGTGTGACGGGGCTGTTATCACCCACAGTCGCTTTATACCTGCAGGAGAAAAAGTGGGTACCATAAGTACTGTAAGCAGGTAAAACATAAAAAGACACGTCAGCAGTTAATTCGTCTCGCCTGCAAAGTCTGTCAGGAAATCCAGCTCCGGAGCGAGGCTGACTGAGGACTTTCCGACCCCTCTGTTGCCTGCGTGATCTTCCTCCAAGTCCAACCCGTGCTCGATGCCCGGGGGGAGGTCCGAGTAGTCCCCCCACTCCTTGACATTGGGGTCCAGCTGACCCTTGGGCGGCTTGCTGCGACTGATGCCCGGCCATGCGGTGAGCCAACCTGGGCAGCTCCACAGAACGGCCAACAGCAGCAGAGGCAAGTGGAACTTGTGGAGACGAAGCATCCTCGCTGACTCGGGTTGATTGGGGGTTGGCTGTAGTTGGTTAGCGGCGCTCAAGTTCTTCAGTGATTATAAAAAAACATTTGTGCTAGATCGCATGGTCTGCGTCTTGCATCCGAAACAGACTAGAAGGATTCGGGAGTAAAAAAGGCGATTTAAGCTCATTAAAGGCTGAAGATGACTCACAGGTAAAAGAACAGCAGAGACGGTGGCCTTTTTCACCAGCAGAGAGAGACTGAGCGGGGAGACTTTCCCTCCTCGCACACATGCGGTCCTGGTTCGGATTATACCCGGGATCGTTAACAGGAAACTCATGGAATCTTCTGGGACTTCAAAGCATTTTCTCTCTCTCTCTCTCTCTCGCTCTCTCTCTCTCTCTCTCTCTCTCTCTTTCTCTCTCTCTGTCTGTCTCACATTCTCTGTGTGCGGTGCCGCTTTGTACCACAACTGACTGGTTTGGTTTGTTTGTTTTTAATATAAAAAACAGTCACATCTGAACCAGAGACATTGTTTCACAGCATTAGTCAGTTCCATTGTGTTTTTGATCAAGAGATGAAATGCCTATTGACTTCAGGGCTGCTGCTGTGAGTCTGATCCTGACCTCTGAGAGCCAAGCGGAGAGACACTATTAAAATGACTTGTGTTATTTCACCTGGTGACAATTGTATTTGACCATTTTCTATTTCTACATGTGTCACTATCCATCAGTGACTGGTGACGGATGCAGGCTGCCTCCCATGCAGGAGGAGGAGTGTTGACAGACTAAGGGGGTCAAAGTGGGATTTTTTCAACAGGACAAAAGCTTTTAAATGAATGTGAACATAAATAACCCGACCCCAGACAGAGGCTAATAGATGCCCCAGTCGAGGAAAGTTCACAGCAGTTCAACGTTGAGACAAATGTTCCCTCAGGCGAGTTAACCTGCAAGGCTCTGCCAGTAGTCATCAAACTAAAGCCTTAAGCAGCACAACAACACAATGCGACCTGTAGCCATAAACTTGACTATTATACATTTTTTTAGTAGTTTATCTAATGAGGACTTGTCTCAAATGGATGGCTTTCTGAGTCTAGACACACTTTGAAATGACTGAAAACCTTGAGGGTCTTTGGCATTGTGAGAGGTTCCACTTCTTGACCTCAGAACACTTCGATTTGTATTTTTATGTCACTGAGGAGGAAGACGAAAAGAGGAAGGAGTATAGGAAACGCAAAAAAAATATTCAAGAGTTTTGAAGCAAAGCAAAACAATTAAAGAAGCTATGTATGGAGAAAAGCTCAAATGAGAACCAGGCGTAGCAACAATGCATTCCACTCTCTGAGCGGGATAAAGAGAACCAGATGATCAATATGTGTCCGGGAGGGAGAATATCTATACACTACTATAAGGGAGCTAAGTGTCAATGCAAGTTCTGTCACAATGCCACACTTTAATTGGGAAAGAATCTCAGTTAATAAGCCAATAAGCTTTTACACGTCTCTACAAGCACAGAAACACAGATCCTCTGCCCCTGACAAGCACAGGCTTAGAGTTTAAGGCTCATGTGTAGTGGATGACAGAGGTAACGTGATGTTTCAAAAAAGTATAAAAATCCAAAGTACTTGGCGGAGATTCAACATAACCTTATTGTACTGTACTTATATAAACTACATAAGTGTCCAACAAACGAGGAGTAGGTGACAGCGTTCCACATAAACGGACAAACATTTTCAGGAGATGTTTGGCATTTCAACATTAGCAGCGACTTCCAGATATGCATCCCACCTCTCTCCCAATGTGAACTGGTAAAGAATGTGATGGCCCGTGCCCCCTTGACAGGAATAGTCAGCCCTGTATGACAATTGCATTCAGATCTATGAGTGTTAATTCATTTGGAAGTCCATTTCATTTCTGTTTGGCTAGAAGGAAAATTAATCTCTTGATAGTGGATTTATGGTGGTAAAAGAGCGCCCCTCAGTGGAGGCATCGAGAGTTGCATCATTAGTACGTTTTGGACATGGTTTTGTGACGCCATTTCTAATATAGCGGAATACACGTAAATGTACAGCTCATTAATACTAATACTATTTTTTCATTATTGCAGGTGTTTATGCATGTTTTTTCTACTTAGAAATGGACTCGTGCATATTGTTCCTGCAAAGAGGATCAAACAAAATGTCAACATAAATGATGAAAACAAAAAATAATAAAGCTAAAAATAAAACCTTAATGTTACTTCCAATCAATGAAATATTTGGTTAGCTGTCGGCAAAACGTGACCTAAACTACATCGGGCCTGTGAATGACATTGTTTTGCTTCGCCGGTGACAGCGCATCAAAAGTCTTCGGATAACCTCTGACGCGTCGTCCCGTATGAGCCAATAAAACGCCTTCCTCAGCCCACCTGACGTCTTCTTCCGGGTCGACAGCGAGTTCCTCTGCTGCACAGAGCCAGGACTGTTGGCAAAGGTCAGTCGAGTTGTCCTCCGCTAACTCCAACCCATTCTCACTTTCCGCTGTGCATTTTGGTTCGTGGTGCATTTCTGCGCGTCTGTAGGGAGATGTTTTTTTTTATTCATACGTCTCCTTTGCGTCTGAAAGATGAGCGTTAGCTGGCGGCTAAAGCGCTAGGTCTGCTAGCTTATGTTAGCTTTCATCCCCGGCTACATGTTTGCAGACAAAAGGAGACCAGTGGAAGGCACAATAACTCTCGTTTATCTGACACTCACGGATAATATGAAATAAGCACTATAAATGCATTAAATTCAGCCCTTTTTACTGTACGACACACCATTGTGAGGGAAGTGTTGCTAAGGAAACCCTAACCCTGATTTATCGGTTTATTGGGTTGTGAACGTTAAAGAAGCCGTTAGTTTGAGGCTGAGAGGCGTTCAGGGTCCTGACCCCGGGTTTAATCTGGATTTTGGACAAATCATAACACGTTTGCATTGAAATCCCATGTTTATATGAGTTATAATTATATAAAAATGTTTTGACCTTTGAATGTTTTGACTATTTTTTTTTAAAGCTCGTCATACTTTTTGATGACGTGGTAGTTTTCCTCAAATGAATTAAGAGTCCTGACCAGACGCACACATTATTTTCCACCTTTTCAAATGTTACTCTGCCGATGTTTTTGTGATGTTGAATGACATTTTTTAGTTTTTGTATTGTTTGTTGGAAAATATGTGTACTTTACAACATCAGCCTGGTCTCCCTTTAAATATATCTGTAAGACTAAAGGACTAAAAGTGGTTGACATGACACTATAAACCACATTCAGCGCAGGCGAGAACTACTCTGCTTTATATGCGTAAGCTTTTCCCCTTGAGTTTATTTTGATTGGAAGCAATGGCATATATTAATACAACATAAAAACTACATGTAGTACAAGTGTACTAATAACAGGAACTTGTTTTTTCAGTCGAAAACCCAAAGATAATTTTCAATGACACAAAGGGAGAAAAGCAGCACATCTTCTTGTTTGATCTAATGCAATCAGAAAATGACGCACGAAGCATTTTACCTTAATAAATGACAAAGGTTGTAATATTATGCTCCTCTTGTATCAACACTGATGACTTTTTATAATTTATTATGTTTTAAATTGAGTTTTCCCCCTCGTATTGATTTGTTTGACCTGAACTAAAACAGCCTCTATGATCTTTATTGCCAGTCTACTCCAGTTTAACCTTCCCACAACTAAACTATCCCAGTTGGTCTCAGTTCCTTTATCTCTCCTTTTACAGTAAACATGGTGCGTCCCCCTTTCCTTCTAGCGCCTCAGTCTTGTTCAGTAGGCTGTGGTTTAAAGTGGTGGCGTTTGTCCTTGACGTTAATTTACAGATGTGTCCGTTTATGTTCATCTTTGGAAATGGGACAAAAGTGCACATATGTCTCGTGTCCACAATGTGCGCCGGATTTAGCTGCAACGGCATGTTGGAAAGTGTGACTTAAACGTAGGTCATTAGTGCGTGTTTGATCCACAAGGGAACGGGGCAGGACGCGTTTCTGTGAAACTTGAGCACAACTTAAAGTCCTACTTTTTCAAGAGCGTATTTGCAATTTTGAAAGTTTTCCATACTTGCGTCCTCTTATTTACCTTTCACCCATAACCCCCCCCCCCCACCCCCCCTCTGCTGGTGCCCTTATCGCTGCCTCGTCTCCTCCCCAGGAGGGGTGTTGTCTGTCCCGCTGAGCTCCTCCTGCTGTGTTCGTGTGCGTGTGTGTGCGCACCATGGCGAGGCTCCTACGCGTCGTGGCGGGCAAGTGCTCGGCCCCTGGTTTCAGCGGAGTTTTCTGCGCCGAGCTGCAGAGCGGCGTCGCCCATCAAATTCTCATGGCTTCGCTTTTTCAGGACCATCAAGCTCTCGGGCGGATGCGCCGGTCCAGGTGAGACACTCGACACATTTTGCACCAACAACCTGAGACAATTCGTCGTAATTTTAAAGAATCTCGCGGAGCACACCGACGAAAGGTCAATAAACAACATGAACCGTATATATCTACCACATTACCGTGTGTGCTCGTGTAAAAACCAGCAGCAACTGGAATGCAGGAGCTGGGGGTGGTGATCGCGCCGACACTCCCTCTGTATGTGCAGGTGGGGGTCGGTGAGGGGCGCTTGTGACCGGTTCATGCTGACATTCCAGCAGATCAGCCAGTGCCAATAACAGCTGGCAGCCTCTATTCTGGACACACAAAGTATCCGCTTACATACAGGCTCGTAAGGGGGGGGGGGGGACAGCACAAACACTTCATATAGACGTGCTTATGAGCTGACCTTTAGGAAGCCTATAGACGTCCACTAGAGCGAGGCAGTGCGTCGGTGTGAACTTTGTCATGGACCAACTGACTGCTGCGGGCCGTCCCAACTCATGAAAGCACTACAGACTTGGCTGTGCTTGTATGTCGGTCTGTTGGACCAGCGTTATGACATGAGTACAGTAACCATGCCTCTTGGTTTCTCACACACCTTCCGCCCAATGGAACAGAAAACGGGGCACCACTTTGCATCAGTGGGGTCGAGCATTCTATCCACGTTGGCTTGAGTATTGTTTTTAACGTTAAAACAGCTGCTGTGCATGTGCGTCCTCGTGGCCGAGCATTTTTCTTTGACGTTGACGCGGGGTTCATAAATGTTCATGGTAACTCTACAGGGACATCTAAATCAACCGCTAATGTGGCAATATGCACGGTCGAAAAAAGATAATACTTGTTTGATGCTGCACTATTTTCATGGCTATGTTGTTGTCTGCCCAGCTCTCTGATTCTAATAACATTAACTGCTCCGGAGTTACATTTTTGGGCAGACACAATGCACTCTGGGGTGTTAAATGATTTTGCTATGCTTTTTCACAAAATTAAAGTTGTTTGAGGACGGGTCACCACAGCAGGGAAGAGACTCTTGTGTTTATTTATAGTCAAGAACACTCAGAGAATGAGCTGGAAATTTTTATATAAGCCGACACAACATGTGGACGGACTGTTGCCTGGACTCTAAACCTGAATAAGAGTACTAAAAAAGACACTGAACGAACCGGCTGAAAATATTATTAGCTCATTGGTGCATTCATTGTATCTCTCTTGACTTGAGTAAAGGAAAATATCTATATAGAACCCCCTCTAATAATAATAATAATTTGTCTTCCAACAGCCGGTACTCCGTACAAACAACTCACAGTCGGCGTACCAAAAGAAATCTTCCTGAATGAGCGTCGCGTGGCGCTTTCCCCCGCTGGTGTCCAGGCTCTCATCAAACAGGGCTTCAACGTCGTCGTGGAGACGGGAGCCGGAGAGCCTTCCAAGTTCCACGATGAGCACTACACCCAGGCTGGAGCAACAATTAAAGACATTAAGGATGTCTTGGCATCAGATGTGCTGGTTAAGGTAGGACTTCTTTTGGGGCGGGGTGATGATGATGATGATGATGATGATGAGTGTTTGTTACTTCTATGGGAAGGATGAAACCTAGGATGTCCTTTCACACCCGCTGCTTCTCTCACTCTCTCCTGAAGTTGAATAGAGTGGGATTAACATTCTACCTTTTTTTTTTTTTTTTTTAACCTGCACCGATCTCGTTCTATTTCAATAATTATCTTGTGTGCTTCCAGGTTCGCGCTCCCGTTTTCAATCCTGAATTGGGCGTCCATGAGGTGGAGATGATGAAGGACGCGGCCACTTTAATCAGCTTCATCTACCCAGCTCAGAACCCTGAGCTGATGAACATGCTGTCCCAGAAGAAGGCCACCGTCGTGGCTATGGACCAGGTGCCCAGGGTCACCATCGCCCAGGGTTACGATGCACTGAGCTCCATGGCAAACATTGCAGGGTGTGTACATGATTCCTTCAAGGGAGGTCGCTGTGTTAATGGCTTCTCCTCTGGAGTCACTCACTGATGTGATTTACTGTCAATTTAACAGTGATCGTGCACTTTCACATGTGTTCAAACGATTACATTTAAAAACAAATTCACAGGACATGTTAATTGCTTACAGTTCATATTACTATTAATATTGCATGACGTTTAATTTGATCATTTCCTGTGATTTGCGCTCCCTCATTTCAGGTACAAGGCGGTTGTGTTAGCAGCCAATAACTTTGGTCGCTTTTTCACTGGACAGATCACAGCAGCAGGGAAAGTGCCACCTGCAAAAGTGAGTGTTCCTGCATTCTAGGTTTCTTTTGGCAGAAAATAGTTTTCTTTTTGTAAGCTTGAATTCATTTTCATGTATTCGTTCTATTTAGGTTCTGATCATTGGAGGTGGAGTGGCTGGATTGGCTTCAGCCGGTTCTGCCAGAGCCATGGGAGCCATCGTCAGAGGATTTGATACCAGGTTTGTTTTGTTTGTTTTTTAATGGCACTGAAACAAAACTTGACTACAAAACACACTTGAAATCCGGTAAATTTCAACAGAGGTCTGTGCGGTTTTAAGGGCAATGTTATTCCTTCATATGCAGTCCCTCGTCGAGATTTTACCTGACAAAAAATCAACCTGCTCTCCTCCCATGCCACCCCGTTTCTCTCTCTCAGAGCTGCAGCTTTAGAACAGTTTAAATCTCTGGGCGCAGAGCCACTGGAAGTGAACATAACGGAGTCCGGGGAGGGTCAAGGAGGCTACGCCAAGGTTATGTCGAAGGAGTTCATAGAGGCGGAGATGAAGCTGTTTGCCAAGCAGTGTCAGGAGGTGGACATTATCATCACCACTGCTCTTATCCCTGGTACACACAAACCCATAACTACTGTACATTATGAAAAAAGGAATGTGTGAAGTAAAGAACTATGAAACCAACAAAGTAACATGTGAAACCATTCACTAATTTTTGATTAAGATATTCAGTTTTTGAACACTGCATTTGGCCATGGTGATTATGTCTTCTTGGCTCAGTGTTTAATGTGTGTGCGTGTCCGTTATGACATTGTAGGAAAGCGGGCACCCATCTTGATCACCAAACCGATGATCGAGAGCATGAAGGATGGGTCTGTGGTGGTGGATTTGGCTGCTGAGGCCGGAGGAAACATTGAGACCACAGTACCCGGAGAGCTGACGGTGCACAAGGTCAGCTCTCTCTCAAATGACAGCCTCGTTTATAGTATACTGTTTTGAAATGTATTTGTATTGACTCATTTCCCTTTTTGATTAGGGTGTAACCCATATCGGCTACACAGACCTGCCCAGTCGCTTGCCAACGCAGTCCAGCACGCTGTACTCAAACAACATCACCAAGTTGATGAGGGCCATCAGCCCCGACAAGGAGAACTTTTACCTCGACGTCAAGGAGGCGTTTGACTACGGGACCATGGATCACGTCGTCAGGGGATCTGTTGTCATGCAGGTACAAAGTGTGATGAATAAATAGGATCCATGAAGTCATTCATGACATCATGCAAAACAGGGCAGCAGGTCCGTTTCATGCTCACTAGATGTCACTCTAAGACAAAACGGTCTATTCTCTTTACGCCTTATTACCAAAAATGTCTCAAAACAAGTAACCGTTACAATTTAAACTTTCTCTCTATGTGTGAATAAATTACTTGTCAAGCTTTCATTTGTAACTTACATCTCACCTCAATATGAAGGTCTGCTTATGCTGCTCTAATAATCAGATTTAAGTTACTTTAATCGTTGACAAGATCAATAATAATGGCCTGCTGTCATTGACCTCTATTTGCTTTTTCGAACTATCCTTTTATAAGTGCACGTATCAAGCGATAAGTAATTAATCCAGAGCAGCTAGTATATTCCCTTTGTTGTTTCTGCATTTTTACGATTGATTATATATTAAGCAGATTAAATTTCCTCACTTTTCTACATCAAAAGATTTCCCTTATTTGTTGTGTAGTAATTACAGTGTTGCTCGAGTAATGTTTTCTGCTGTAAAATGACCTGATAGCTACAGATCTGGGTCGCAGTTCTGGAAATTTCAAGTGGATCTTTACTAAAACATTTGTTGCTATGTAATATGTCGTTGTAGAAAAAGAAGAAAAAAAAGTTCTCCTGAATTTGGATATTGGTACTTGTCTGGAGGACGTTTACATTTTGCGTGTCTTAAATCGTAGATCATTTAGACATTTTTTAGGAGAATCTATTTGCTGTAATCAATCTAAGGGGGCTTCATTTTTTCTTTCTTTTTTAAATCAGTTTTCTGAGGGTAATATGACCTGTATCTGATACAACGGTCCCACAGATGAGGCCAAACTGCAGATATTACTTACTTTGCTTACCAATCATTAGTTTGCTCGCTTTGATCTTGACAGCGTAGTCTAATGTTTCAGAGATTTACAAATGCAACAGATATTGTACAACATCAGGGGATGAGATCAGGGAATACAGTGTGCAACACCGAGCCATTAATATCCCGCATAGGAAAGCTTATTTGTTTCCCCTTCTCTCTTCCAAATCATACCTTTCTGTCTCAAATCTTGTCCCCTCCAGGATGGAAAGAACCTGTTCCCCGCTCCCCAGCCTAACAATGTGCCCGTTGCAGCTCCTCCCAAACCCAAATCCCTCCAGGAACAGGCGAAGGAGAAGGCTGCGCTGGTCTCCCCCTTCAAGGCTACACTCACTACTGCTGGCATGTACACTGGAGGTTGGTTGAATGCGCCATTAAATGTAGATTTTCTGGTGAAGAAGAGAATTCCCCAAGATGCTTCACCTGAGAACCTTGCTCATATACAAGAAATGTTCTTGTTAATTGTCCGCATTGGTGTCGAGGAACTTCAAGGTGCTTCAGAAGGTGACGCATAGGGTAATAATCAGTTTTTTAGACCACTGCTGGAATGTGCACAGGAGGCGAGAAGTGACACACACACACACACACACACACACACACACACACACACACACACACACACACACACACACCCTGTTAGTGTCAGGAAGTGTGCATTGTAAAAAGAAAAAGTGTCCCGCTGAGTGTGTGTTTGAAGTAGGGCTGTTGTGAGTGGTTCCCATGGTGCCACACAGCGCTCTGTGTTAAGCGTGCCACATGCAGTTAATGTGGTTCACACATTGTTTAGGTGCCGGAGTAGTTTCCTACTTAATGGCAGCACACCGCTGCTGGTTTGAGCTACTCTTTTTATTATTTGAGAGCTTGCTTCATGCTGGTTACGTGCTTATTAGTGCGGCAGGTAATGCAGTAATTTTTGATCCTAATCGATTGGCCGCCATGGAGACTGACAGCTCCTTTTGCTTCACCAGACAGTTTGCTTCATGCCCCCAGACAAATTGCTCTTTGACTGATAATTATACATGTCTGTGGGAGTAACAGGAAATAAGGCAGTCGTGGGTGGTCAAGTGCTTAACATTTCTCGCAGTCAAATAAAATGTGCAAATAGTAATAGTGCAAAAAGGAAATTCAGAGCTAATTTATACTAATGAAGCTATTACTGTTCGATCAGAGGGGACAAAAGATGATAAAAAAAAAATGAAAAGAATGTTTCCAAGATTGGGCACCAACGCCCAATTTTCTTTTCCTAAATATGTTGTTCACCAAATGTTTAACTCTATTGAATACCCCCCAGATGTACGGTTTTAAGTGTTCTTTAGTTTTTACAGTAGCTTTTTTTTTTATTTTCTGCAAACAGGTGCTGCCACCCTGCTGGGTCTGGGTCTGTCCGCTCCGAACGCCGCCTTCACGCAGATCGTCACCACCTTCGGTCTGGCTGGCATCGTGGGATACCACACGGTGTGGGGAGTCACTCCTGCTCTGCACTCTCCACTCATGTCGGTGACCAACGCGATCTCAGGTTGGTTTCGGTGTCTTTTACAAACGACCTTCGGTGTAATGCCACCTGGAACTAGACCGCTGCAATATGATGTGAAAACTTAATGCCAGATTAAGTCTCGCAGTCATTATTTAAGCAACAAAACCCCATTGAATTCTAACCCATTGGAATAGATAAAATATATAATATATATATAATAATATATAATAAAAATATATAATATATATATATAATATAATATAATAAAATATAGAATTAAAACCAAGCGAGGAGATCAAACGTACAGCCGTCCTGCAGGTTTCTGAGTCCAAATAAAAACTGTTGTTTCCTGATTGTCTGCTGCAATTTAACACTGAGGGGGTTAAGAGGTTAGAGAGGCGTGTGTGTTCTTGTGGCTTTGATCTCACTTAATACCCACACTGAGGTAGGAAGTAACACACCGTCGCTGATCTTTGGGGGTCAGGGAAGTCGTTGCTCATTTAATCTTGCACACAGCCGGACATGAGGGCTCAATTGTGGAGCTAAGCAGTGCAACCACTAAGAGACCGCTGTTCAAAACGTTATTACTTAAACCTATAATCTTCACATTATAACACTTGTTCTTCTGAGTGTTTTGTGCTTTTATTTTCTATCACATTTGGTTGGTTTGAAGGTCTTTCTACTAATACTCTACTCTCTCGGTGTCTGCCCTCCATTTGTCCTTGTTTCCCCGTTGAGATATTTTCCATTCATATTTGGCGTTACTTTATCAGTTTCTTTTTCTTTCCCTTACTGACTGTAGGGATGGAAACAGTGAGATCAACATAACTCTTGTTGTGCCAGGCATTGTAAAGACGCACACTCAGACATTAGGGAATCCTATTGGAATTCAAGGTTTGAGTAAGGGACAGTTGTATTCTTTGTGTGAAGATTAGTGACTGACTGGTGGGTCATCTGGATGTTCTTCACACACTCGTATCCAGTTGCTCATTGAGGCACAATTTCATACCTGGTGTCTGATAGAAATTCTTTAATCTACTTGAGCGCACTGATTCACTGTCGCACGGTGCCTGTAGCCTGGTAGCTGATGTTTATCACAGCGACATTGGCCCACCCACTATATGGATGTTTCATTTGGTCTGTGCACGGATGCCTTTTGGCTTTCTTTCTGGCTAATCTTAGTTTATTCTTGGTTTCCTTTTTTTTGGTTCAAGTAAATCACAATACAAAGTACGCCAATTCTAGACGGGTACAGCTTTTATATAATCTCATAGTGAGAATTATTTCTTAAATAATGAAAAGTTATTCAGTTAGGTCCAGCCAGACATTTTGATTGCCAATCTTTTTCAATAAATATAAACTACATATTTTCCGGCAAGAGGTGTCTTTAAGCAATAGTTCCTTGGCAGTACACACCGTCTCAAAAATGTTTGTTAAAATCATCAAGAGAGTAGCATATTCGGTAGTCATAGGCATGGACTGACACTGAGGACAAAGAACAAACGAATGCACAGCCACAAATACTGTGATTTATGAGGTCACTTACCATAAATAAATGTATGCAATATATACAGTATACGGAACAAGATTGTATCTTATGCATGCGTAGATTTGCATGTATGAGTTGGCCTTACGGTCAATGGGCATCAAAGGCATCCCAACACACTTTAAGGTGTAATTGCATCTATAAAATAGTTGGAAAGGTGTCCTCAAATGTTTCATTTAGTTGTCTCGTTCTAATCAGATTGAGGGGTCAAACTTCACATTTGTCTTTTATTTAAAAAAAAAAATAATAATTCTAACCTACACTATTGATTACATGCATGCAGACGCACACTCTGCCTGCTAGTCAACATAAATTGCACTCAAACACAATTTCGTGTGACTGCAGGCTCACTGGCTGCTGTGTGCGGCATCCTACCGCCTGTAAGTCATTACAGGGCTGATTGTTATCAAGGTTTCCTGAGCCTCTTTTGGTAAATCTCTAAATCTTTCTATTTCTGTCTTTTTTCCCCCAATATGGGAAGCAGAACAAGAATTCTGAGCTTAAAAAAACAACTGCAAAATTCCATTGCTGTTACACAATGCAAACTTTTACGACTGAATTAGTCTGTTGTTGTTGTTGTTGTAACACCTTAACCAGGGCTCACTGTTTGGTATAACGAACTATGAAAGCGCAGGATCCTGAATACGACACTATCGTTGTTCTGCAGGTCTGACTGCTGTGGGTGGTCTGTCCCTGATGGGAGGCGCCTACACCCCAACGAGTTCTGCCGAGACACTGGCTGTGCTGGCGGCCTTCATCTCCTCGGTCAACATTGCTGGTGAGTCACCCTGCATGTGGACGCCTCGCGGTGATCGCTGCCAGTTACAGTCCCCTTTGGCCAATAAAATATCATCTCTGGCTGGAGATTGATGTGCTTTTTATATTGATTGTACAATAACATGCTGTCAAGTCAGGTTTTGCAGCAGCCGTCTCCACCACCTGCTCAGAACGGAGACCGTGGCTCTGGCCTGGACTCCAGACGCGTGTACACACACACACACACACACACACTCCTGCTATTTCCCTTGATAATTCCCATCATAATGACAGTGTTCCTGGAGTCTTTTAGAATGCTCGTCACTCTCTAATAGTCCTGGGAAACGGCGCGTTCCTCCAGGCCTGAGACATGAATTTGTTTTAACTTAACTAGTTCGCTCACTGCTTGACATCAGGGGAGACTTCGACACAAGCAAAGAATTACAGTTAACTTGCACTAATCGATCCTTTTTCCCATGTCGAAATGCAGCCAAGCTTCTTTGAGTGTTTGTGTGGGAGACCCCGGCCACCACAAAGTTTTTCTTTTTGAGTTCATTCAGCCGTAATTCTCCGACCCGCTGGGTTCTTGTGCCAGCGCTGTTCAAACCACCCATTAGTTTTTTTAGATTTCCCTCAACGAAGGCATGCTGAAATACCACAGCCTTTATAGACCTACCTAGTTTCATTTTTGATCTCCTACATGGGTTTGTTTCCACACGCACATTTCTAAGCAGTTGACCGCATTACCCATAAACCCCTGGGAACAAGTGGGGGGGGGGGGGCGGGGGAGAAACATTCCATGGAATAGGACAAAACACAATAGTGAAATTTAGCTCGAATAAAACCGACCCTGACATTTTTCAGTCTTTTTGGATGAATAGGTCCCTGGCCGCAGCTTCTTGTTCCCTTTGTGGCTGCGCAGCTGAAAGATGTGGGAATGCATTGAAAAACACCTACAAGTCTGAGTATCTTTAGTTAAATATGTTCAGTTTCTCACAATCCATCTGCTAATGTTCAATATTAAATTCCGTATGTTCCTTTTACTGGAACTAGGCCACTAATTTCAGTCAGCGCAAAATCTTATCATTCACTTATTCAATTTATAAATGACTTGTAACTATGTTCATGCACCAGAGGCCTTGATTTTAGCCACAACAGTTTTGTAGCTCTATTGATGCCAATGTTAGTTGTCCAGAATAAAATATCTCAACCACTATGAGACCAAATGTCTCAACTACTATGAGACCAAATGTCTCAACTACTATGATGAATCCTATGATGTCTTTTTTTTAAATTTGTTAGCCATTCTCGTCCACCTCAGGCTGATTTATTTCAAATCACTTTGCCAATCCATCATTGGGTCAAAATGTGCAGGATAATGATAGTTTGCTGATAAAGAATTATCTAATTGTCTAATTATTAGGCTGTGTGCCTAACTGTGGAAGTGACTGGCATGTACAGTAGAGCGTCTTTAATCAATGGCCTTATGTTGGCCAGTGTCACTGATGCTTTTTTTCTGTGAAGCTTTCTAAATATAGTGTCAGCAGACCCCTTCTGGGTTAGAAAAATAAAACAACCAAAAGCAATGAGCGGATATTGGCTTTGCGTTGTTAAAATACATGAACATTCCTTCATGTTAATATATTGACACAAATTGGTCGGCAATAATATTAGTCAGATTTGGTTTCACAAGTTTAATGCCAGGGGGAAAGAGACAGAAATGTGAACTCTTGTAAAGCAGTGAGACACCGTCTGCTCCCCGGTTTCACGTATTTGAGGTTTTCTACTTGAAATATTTATCTTGACATAAAATAGACTCATTAATGTTCGAACATTGGTTATTAGGCTTGGCAACATCATTTTTTTGCCATTGACTGTAACACCTGTTGCCTAAAAATAAATATGCACCATGTTCTTAAAGTGCCTTTAACTCACTGCCTTTTAAGTGTTGAGTTTTCTTAACATTACCGCTGTTTTTTGGTTCCGTAAACCTTCCCTTCTGGTAAAGGAGATTTTACACCCATTTTACTGGTCTTTTAAGTACGAATGCACTAATTTGCCTTGTCTGTTCAACCAGGTGGTTTTCTGGTGACTAAGAAGATGTTGGACATGTTCAGGCGTCCCACTGATCCTCCGGAGCATAACTACCTCTATCTGCTTCCTGGAGGCGTCTTCCTCGGGGGCTACGGTGCCGCTCTGCAGTCTGGGTACAACATCGAACAGGTGCGAGAGCATGTCTGAAATGCCGTGACCACTGTGCTTTCCCGGATGAAGCACAGGCCTCCAAAGAAATCACTTGGCCTCATTTTTCATCCCGTGACCCCTCAACCGTGTTGTCTATAAACCTCCATTTTACCCATGCTCTGCCTCCCTCTTTCTTTAACCAGATGATGTACCTGGGCTCGGGTCTGTGCTGCGTCGGTGCCCTGGCTGGCCTTTCCAACCAGAAAACAGCCCGTCTGGGTAACGCTTTGGGTATGATGGGAGTTGCAGGGGGGATCATTGCCACTCTAGGCGCCCTCAAACCGAGTCCCGAGCTCCTGGCGCAGATGAGCGCGGCCATGGCTGTAGGTGGCACCACTGGTGAGTCAATATGAAGGAATGTCCAAAGAAGGATGCAGCAGATTTACAGATACTTCTTATACTCACGGTGTTGCAGCAAATGTAGATTTGCTTTGTCATTTGTTTTGCATTGTTTGTGAGGATCTGCATGTTTTGAAAGCCGGGCCTGATTTAGCCGCAAGTGTGCAAAGGGCATCGTTCTCTGATGTTTACATCAAACACCACATGAGTAACACTCCGACAGACACAGGAGGTCTGTCAAAATGGTCAGCAGCACGCATTACTCACATCTTCTTGCTGACTCACAACAGTTTTATCACTTAAATGCTAATTATTCCGAGACTAAACTATCCAAAAAGATAGTGTGCACACACACACTATGCGTAGACTTCCTCACAAACAAGGAATTTCCCCAAACAGGCCTCTTCAAACACCTGGTTCCTCAGATGGACCCACTTCCCAGCAGTCCTCTTGAGTGTGTTTGCCTGCATGTGCTTGTGATTTGCATGTTATTAGCATGTGGGTCTTGCAGGGACGCTGCACTTTATTTATTTGTTATTTCTCTCTCTTCCCCCTTTTAGGCTTGGCCATTGCTAAGAAGATCCAGATTACTGACCTGCCCCAGCTGGTGGCTGCCTTCCACAGCTTGGTGGGGATGGCCGCCGTGCTCACCTGCGTGGCCGAATACATGATCGAGTACCCCCACTTTGCCACAGACCCTGCAGCCAACCTCACCAAGATAGTCGCGTACCTCGGCACCTACATCGGCGGAATCACTTTCAGTGGCTCTTTGGTTGCGTACGGCAAACTGCAAGGTGAGAGAATCAGTCATGTGCGTTTTAATATTCCTGTGCAGAGTAAACCATTACATTTCCAGTATGCTGGGAATTTTTATTGTATTTAAAAATACAGTTGATGGCAGAAGTAGACGAAGAGTATGTCTGAACTGCAAAGTGTCTTTGGGATTTGACCCACCTCTTTAAAGTGAGTTACTTCACATAGGATAAGTTGGGCGAACTTTTTACGGGGGCTTAAATTGGTATTTTTTCCAGTCCATGAAATATGTTCACGTGAGCTGTATACCTTGGTCCACCTTTTCAAACATTTTCATAACATTTTCACCAAAACCTTTTCCCAATATGACATTTTATCTTTTCTGCGGTACAATCTAAATAGTTATTTTCTAAATGCATGGTCAAAATGTTAAATGTTTTAGAGGATCAGTATAATAATATAGTTAATGTCAATTTTACCCAGATTAATCGTGACATCAAATTCTTATATTGTCCCAAGCTCTGATTTTTCCTGCCGACTTGGCTGAACTGTAGCAACAACGGGTCTAATGCTTCATACTCCTGTATGCTGTAAAAGGGGAAAAAGAAAAAAAACATGGAGTGCATCAGGTTCATGTGCTAGCATCGGTCCTAGCACCGCTCTCCAATTTCTGTGTTTACTGCAACTGTTTCATGAGGGCAAATTATGGGTGAACATGACATTCAGCTAATTGCAAGTCTCACTTGGTAATCCTATTCAACCCTTTTTCCACTGCTTGAATTCATGCTTTTTCCAGACAACGGTTACAGCGTTTTGATGAATAAGTGCAATTATTATTGGGATTTTATTTAAAATCCCTCCTCTTTATGCAGGTGTTCTAAGCAGTGCTCCCCTGGTGCTCCCTGGTCGGCATGCTCTGAACGCCACTCTAATGGCAGCCAGTATTGGTGGGATGGTTCCCTACATGATGGATCCCAGTTACATCACAGGCATCACCTGTCTCGGATCTGTCTCTGCTCTCTCCGCTGTCATGGTATGGCGCGTGCAAAATCAGCTAATTGAATTCATCATCATCAATCTTGAATAGAATTGAATGTATAATTTATTGTGCATCTGTGTTCCTTCCCTTCAATCTATAATGCTCACCAATAAAATTACATCTGCTCCATCGTTCGCTGTATTTAAGAGCGAATCTGATGACCGTATTGTATAGAACTCCTCCTGTCTCCTTTAGGGTGTAACTTTGACGGCAGCTATTGGAGGCGCTGACATGCCGGTGGTGATCACCGTGCTGAACAGTTACTCAGGCTGGGCCCTGTGCGCCGAGGGCTTCCTGCTCAACAACAACCTGCTGACCATCGTCGGCGCGCTCATTGGGTCGTCCGGAGCCATCCTGTCATACATCATGTGTGTGGTGAGTGGAGACAAATTTTTATATATATTTTTTTAATTCCTAAAGCAACTGTAATTGTTGAGCTGCCGCACTGGGTCTCCGCAACACTGCTGTTTCATTTGATGAGTTTAACGCGGTTGTTCCTCCCTTTTCCACCAGGAGGGACTCTAACTTTACCACAGCAGAGTCCCACTTGTAAATAAATAAATCTCCGGTCACAAATGTGTTTTTTGAAGAAATATTAAGGTAATGTAAGGAATTCTTTCTCCACTCTCAGGCTATGAACCGCTCACTGGCTAACGTGATCCTGGGAGGCTACGGCACGTCCTCCACCGGCACGGGAAAGCCCATGGAGATCACAGGGACGCACACCGAGGTCAACGTGGACCAGACAGTCGACATGATTAAAGACGCCCAGAGCATAATCATCACTCCAGGTACAAGCAGACACACCGACGCACATTGCAGGGGCTTGTGCGTGAGTGGAACAACATGGTACTCTAACTTTGCCAGTCATTCCTTAGCATTAGCAAAGTGTGTGTTCTGCTTATTTAACCTTTTCTTCACCCATGTTACATCACCTTTTTGTTAGGCTAATTAACAAAGTCCCGGTAGAGTTGAAACACACACACACGTACAAGGTTTCTGTGTGGTCGTCCCTCCCAGGTAAATAGACATTCTACAGTGTGGCGTATATATGCAAGGTCAAGGGAAAATGAGGGTATGCTTGGTTTATGTAGACATTTCAAACCCCATGTTCATAATTGGACTCTAGCTCTTTTTTGAGGGGGTTAACTTGGGGTTCAACCTTTTGTTCCAGGTACATGCTTTTCTTTTTTTTCTTTTTTCCACGTGTCTTCTATAATGTTGGATAATAATAAAGACGCGTCTGAACCTCCCACTTGTAGTATTGCGATGGTCCTCTGTGCTGCTATCCTAAAAACCGTGATTTGTGTGGCCCGGCGATATCTCACTCCCCTCCCCAGACGGTTTCAAGTTCCCAGGAGTTGTTTTACTCACGTGGGTACATGTAAACACAGACTAAAGGCATCCAGCCTGCAAATTGCCGATTCCAGCCACACTGCTGGGTTCCTATAAACAAAAAATAACTCTTCAGAGAAAACCCTTGCAATTTACAGGAATTAAAGTGGTCACATGGTTGAGAAGTGGAAAATAAGTGATCCATGTAGCATGTAGATTAAACCATCTTTTTTCTTACTTTTTCGAGACCAACAGAAGACAAGAGCAGATGTAAAAAGATTTTTGTTTTTGTTAGACTAGTTATATGTAGACATAAACCAGTGAAAGGTCAGGGTTAGTAAAGTATAAAACCAATCACCATAGTACTACAATCAACTTGTAAAAGTAACTTCATGAATGGAGGATCGGTCTATTCAGTAATCCTTCTCTTTCCCTTTTGTAGTGATCAAACCAGATAGTTTTTGTCCCCAGTTCGGGCCTTCAGTCTGCCCGCTTGTTTCTATTTTGACCAATCTCTCTAATTGGAGCCGTCAGAGTCACTTTGCCTGATTGCCATCTGTGGAAACTGTTAAGAGTCGGCCTGATAAACATTGTTTTCCTGGCTTCGTCTGGCCCATCTCCGCATGGCCTGGACCCACTTGTGTTTTTGTTTCAGGAGAAACTCTACAGAGAATGTGGAAGGAAAGCACCATAATGGAGAGAACAAAAACCATTAGATTTTTTCTAGCTGGACTGGTTACAGTCAATAAAGTTTTATTCCTCTTTTCTTTTCCTCCTATGCTGAAGTTGAAAATGTCTGTTTGACTGGTGTGCTGTAACAAGACAAGTTTCTGACTGGTTGTTGTGACAAGGCTCGTAAACGCCACTGGACCGTTTGACGTGTGTTTGTGTGCGTCTGATAAAAATCAAGTCCCACACACCAGCAATATTAAACACAAAGACGGCCCGGCTTAGAGAGCAGAGCCTATATTGCGTTTATGGAAATCAACTAAAAGGCAATTAAGATGAATAGCAGCTACATGATTTAAATGATCAGTTATAGTTTGGAGGGGTTTTTCTAGCCATCGTTCAACCTGAAACTGCTGAAACTCAGCAGTGAAATAATTATTTAAAAAATAAAGGCGGTCAGAGAGTTGAGCCACAGTGTAGAGCGTAAACTTGGTTGTCCAGTTAAAGGTTGCTTTAACTGTGGTTCCTCGCTCTGTGTGCGTTTGGGCATTTTACTCTAAGAATGACTGGGAACTGTGTGTACCAGAAGATGTTCTTTGACAGGTGAGTTGCAGTAAAAGCTGTGCGGTCATACCCCGCTTTAAAATCATCTAATCGCCTCCTTGTGTTAAACTGTCTTACAGGGTATGGACTCTGCGCTGCAAAGGCCCAGTACCCCATTGCTGAGTTGGTGAAGATGCTCCAAGAAGCTGGCAAGAAAGTCAGGTAAATGGGTGATGAGACTAACGATACAGATCAATAGCTTGATCGATAGACGGACGGAAGCCCGATTTAAAGTCCAAAAATTGCACACGATGAAAGATGTAAACCGAGGTGTGGTTTTTGAGTTTGATGACGAGGAGATGGGGCAGGGCGGATGGGAAGAGACCTGTGTGCGAAGAAAGAATGAGGAAACGTAAATGTGAGGGGAGGGACGAGGTACAGCACGCATAATAGTCCTGCCTCTGCTGTTTGATCCTGGATGTTGCAGCTGCTGCTACTTAGAGCATTTGTACTTGATTAGTGGAAAGTGGGTGGTCAGAAAACAAGCCTTTTACCTTGATGTCTTTCCTCTTTTTCTCCATTCAAATGCCCTCTCGAATTCTTGTCGTCTTTTTAGCATTCGTACCTGCCTGTGGAATCCCTCCGTACATCCACCTCAGTCCGGAACATGCAGTTTTATTCCTCATTTTGCGTTTCATATTATTGAGTCTGCAAGCGTGACACATGTCTCTATGCCCTTTTTAATGGATGTTGTCTGAATGGCATTAAGGGCAGAAAATAACTTTTCCATTGGCAGCCGCGGTCACTAATTGATCTCAAAACCCTCTGATATCTGAATCCGTTCTCAACTCGCCCCGAAAACTGAAGAAATAGTCTCCAAATGGTGAGAAGGAGACATCGAATTGAGTGGCTGGTGTTAATTTAGTACCCTGATTACATGACATGCCTAATTGAGTTTGAGAGCTCTGTATACCCAGTCACACACGTGCGTAGACACTCAAGCAATAAGGCACAGTTGAGGGTTGCAGTGGGAAGTTTGTGTGTGTGTGTAACCAGCCTATAATCACAACCATCTCTCTACTTCACTTGTACAAAGCCTCCATTTTACTGTTTCTCTGCCCAATGTGATTCATTTTGATCCCATCTCGGTTGAGATTTGAGAAAGCCAGATTATAGTTAATGTAGAGCAGTGACTTTTGCTTTTAAAGTGCTCGTTCTCTTATGTTGTCACAGGTTTGGTATCCACCCTGTGGCCGGTCGTATGCCGGGTCAGCTCAATGTGCTGTTGGCCGAAGCTGGTGTCCCGTACGATATTGTCCTGGAGATGGAGGAGATTAATGAAGACTTCTCTGGTAAGATCCAGTCCTTTCTGTCTTTGACTCTACATGTGATACCATTCAGGAATGGTTACGTAAAAAGCCTGTAAGCCCGGGGGAACCTGTTAGATTAACTCTGCTGATAGCAATCTGCCGACCAGAAACTCTGAAGCTCAAAGCTTATCAAGATGTTTATCTCCTTAGTTCACAGTAGTGGTTTCATAGTAACTCAGGAGGTGACTAAATATCTCTTGTTCACGGGTTCCTGAAGTCTCAGCCGGTCGCCTGGCAACCTGATGGTGATGGCTTGACTGCAGTTAAACCACTAGATAACTTGAGTTGATAAGAAAAACATTGGAAAAGATGCATCGTCATGGAGACAAAGGCCGATACAAATAAATGCACTTTTACAAGGTAGAAGTATAGAGATAAGTTTCCTGACTTTAATTGTTGGATGTCCAACTAGAAACTGACCTGGTCCTGGTGATTGGGGCCAACGACACAGTGAACTCTGCCTCCCAAGAAGATCCCAACTCTATCATTGCGGGAATGCCCGTGCTGGAGGTCTGGAAGTCTAAGCAGGTGAGACATCTGGCACATGTATGTGTGATAATGAGGTCGCCCTGAAGCCCAAAAAGATGAAGAAGACTGCAGTTTACAACAACTGGAATGCTTATTTACCGCCACAAACGAATATTGGAGCCTCAACCCGTAGAGGGGCCTCCTATTTGAGAGCGTGCACACACACACAATTGTAATCGCCTTCTCACACACACACACACTCGGGCCCTCTTGCATAGAGGCAGATTGTTACAGTTCCAGGTGCAGTCCCATGCTGATCCCATTAGTGGTGACTGTGTCGCTGTGGAATGACGACACTCGGAGCATCCCACTGGCACCGATCCGAAATCTGGGATTTATACAGCGCTCCCATTTGTTTCCACGCTTTCCTCCAGGGGAATCAAATTGGACATTCCACCCAGCCACACACACACACACACACACACTAATATGGACGCACACAGAGACTCCCCATACAGGTGCACAGATACATTCACGCAACAACAAAAAATTGGCGTTTACAGAAAATACACACAAATGCTTCAAATTGTGCAAACACAAGCTAACAAACATTGACATACTTTACTTTTACAGATGTTAAGGCCATCTTTATCGAATTAAACTTCCACATCATTTAATCATGTCTCCTGTTGGATGAACAGTACTTTTAATGGAAAACAACATTGTTGAATATGTAAATCACCGAGCAAACATCCCGGCTGCAGCTCAAGATCTAATGTAGCTGGACAGACGCCTTCGTGGACGAGCGAATGCCAGGAATAACTGGAAATGGATTTTTCTTTTTTCTTTAGAAAATTGGGCTTTTCTGTCCAATCTGAGGCTAATGAGTGCACGTGACTGTGTCTCCTCCCGCTCTAGGTGGTTGTGATGAAACGTTCCCTGGGTGTGGGATACGCAGCTGTCGACAACCCGATCTTCTACAAGCCCAACACTGCGATGTTGCTCGGCGACGCCAAGAAGACGTGCGATGCCCTTCAAGCCAAGGTCCGCGATTCCCAGAGCCAGTGAGGCGGACGCCTCGACCAAGAGCACACGTGGAGCGAGGAAGGTGCAAGACGATGAGTCGGCGTTTCTCCCAAAAGTATCTCCACATCAAGATGACCATTGTCCGGTTGTGACTCCGCTCGTTGAGCAATGACGATTCAAACGTTTTTGGCGCACCCTTCCTATTGTCTATAAATAAAATAAGTTTCGATGCTGTAAAAAGAAGCACGCTTGCGCGATAGGAGCCAAGCAGGCATAACTTTTATTTCTAGATATTAAAGGAAGGATGGGTCAACCATTTACTGTGGAATCTGGGGAGCAACCGACGATGTCATCTTCATCACACCGGTATTAATGTAAAGCAATGCAACATCAGAAATGTAGATGCAGACAAGTAAAATTTCACTTACGTTTTTAGGAAATTGTCAATAGATGATAAATGTTTAGAGTAATTGAAAATGAAGAAAAGCAGTGTGATAAAGGTGAAACCCAACAGAAAGAAACATAGGCACCAACGGGTTTTTTTCCTCCAATTTTCCTGTATTATTGTACGGTAATTTGGTTTTCCCTTTTTAAATACAGATCATACATACAGGTCATTTTACTGTCGTGCTAATGTCTCACCGTTTACTGTTTAAGTAACTACAAAAAAAGCAGAACAGTAGAAACATTTTTGTAAAGTTTGATCATTTCCACTTTTATAGGATACTAAGATTTTTGTATTCGGTCTAATATAATAATAATCATGTTTAGAAGGCATCGCCAGCCACTTTTGTCTTGTCACGTCCACCTATGCCTCTAGTGTAGCAGTCGCACACAGATTAAAATTCAACCCGCTTCTATGGAGCATTTATTGCAATGAACCAAATGGATCTGACCTTATTAAGCATGACTCCACCGCAGTAATGTAATGCTAAGAGAGCCTGCACCACTCCTGCATCAAACACTCTTGTGTAGCTGAATGGATTTAATCATGTTTTTGAACCAGGTGCATCAAATCATCCTGTTCTGATGTTACAGTACATGGGATGCTGGCATTTTGGCCTTTACGGTAAAGAAGGATGTTATTTTTATGAAGTCTATGTGGCTCCATCCCCTCCAATTTGACTGTCATTATGTTTCTAAAGGGAAATGAAGGATTGTTTTGTAAACGTAAACCTGACTTGTGCGAGGAGTCAAAAGCAAAATTGCACTTGATTCAAAATACATAAATTGTTTAACATTGTCACCAACAATTTCCAAATTGTTTATCATTTGCTGTAATCGTAAAGCCCAAATGTCCCTTTTGGATTTTACTATTATAAAGGGAATAGTTACTGATAACCTTCAAAGAAGTTTTGAAAGATCACTAACAAAATGACCACCTCCCACTCTACACTTAACTATTCTGAACCAGAAACTCAGTCCTTGTTTGATTAGTAAATAGTGTTCTCTGCCATCACCTTTTTCATGCATTTCACGCTTTTGATGGTACACGGTTGGAGGAACAAATGGTTACCGGTTAGCAGTCTCTAGTGCTGTAAGAAGTTAGATGTAGTTTCATCCTGGGACCTGATGCATTGACCAACTATCCTACCTCTACCTAAAACGACCAATAACAGAGGACTGTCATCTGACCAATGATGGTTGTTTAAATTTCCCACAGGACGACTAACCGACAAGTCTTTTCCATCCACACCCTGAAATTCAACCAGTCGACTGTCACGTGTCTTAAACTCGACCATTTGCCTCTTGTGTTCTCATCGCGTTTTCAACCATCAGACCTCAGCCTGCGGCTCAATAGTTCAGTGTGTGTGTTGTGCACGAGGGGGTTATTTTTCTCATGAATACATTCTCTTACAACTTGAGATTTTGCTTACTTGCTGTACCTTCTTGCCATTTTCAAGGTATTGATCAAATTAGAAAATATTAATAGTTCTGCCAATGTGCACCCTTATGCCCTCGACCTTTTTGTCTTCAAAAGGAAGTATTTTTGTAAAGCGGCACCATGTTTGTGGGTTTTGAGGTTGTACAATGTTTCAATGCAACGTTTAGGAGAGGACATGTACTGTAAATGTTTTTTCCCTAGTTTATCATGGAACAATTTCATCCCTAATAAATCTGTATTTACACTCTTTTTCCTGAGGCTCTTATTCCTTCCCTGACACACACTTAAAGTTGCGAATGAATGAATTTTTACAACAAACAAGTTGATCAAGAGTATTTCCCTCATGTGCACCACTGCTTTGATGGTTATGTTACCTGCCCGTCTTCCTACGATCGGGTTGAAAACTATTTGTATCCCCTGGGTCGTTTAGCATTCTTTCACAGTGGGTTCACAACATTTAGTCAACACTTTGCTAAAAATCTGCATTTTGATCATTTTGAACATAGTTGAAGCAAGCGGCTGGGTGCAAGAGATGAGAAAATAACAATCATTTTTTATTTGTACATTTCCATGCTGCGGTTTCCACATTTTTAGCTCACTTGAATGCAACTGGAGTGCTCAGGGTATCCTTGCATCCTATACATCTGCATAGTCTTCAAATCATACCTTTAATCAAAAGGCCATTGAAAACTCAAGTGTGTTTTTACTTTTTAATCATCTTTCTTCTCTGCTGTCATGCAACGAGCTTCTCTTCTACTCAGAGATAATCACAGCGGCTCGTTGATGATGAGCGACAACACTGGTTGGTAAAACCAACTCCGCAGCCTCAAAGTGCCAGTGTGCAAGCGAATGAGATCGCATGATGCCATCATGAGGGTCAGGATAATGACCGAAGTGTAAGTGCATCAGTTTGTGAGATTATTTTTCACCTACAAGCGGCACTTGATTGGCATTCATCAGCGGGGAGTGAACTGGAGGTACTTAGCAGAGGAGTGGTGCACACAGATTTAGAGATTGGGCGCTAGATAGACCATTAAGATGGGGATTGCATGTGTGCGCCATGAGGGTTGCTTCATCGTGCAACAAGAAGCACTCAGACTGTTATCTAAAGAGAGCTGTTACTCCCACGGCAGAGGCGAGTTGCTGCGATAGATAAGAGAACGATTTGAAGTCCGACTTATTTTTGTTCTTGTTGTGCGTGCGTGTGTGTGTGTGTTTGGTGCACAGCCTGATAAGCGATACAGTGACAGCCTCCTGAGCTTGAGCCGCTCTATTGTCACACTGCCATTATTTACCCAGAGTGCTGAAGGATAGCCAGCATGTTCCAGCCACAACAAGCCTCCATGCCTCCTCCCTACAGGGATAATCTGTCCTCCCTGAACAAAAGAAAAACAGCTTGTTTGGCCTCACCTTGCATGCTATTTTATTTGCAGGGTATCTAGTTAATGTGAGGAGAGCCTGTTTTGCTGGGTGAATCGTTTTTAATCTATTTGATGATGAGACTGATATAGATTGCATGTTTGATAAGGTCACTGAGCGTAAATTAACGTGAGAAGAAGCAGTTATACATGAAGCATTTAAAAACACATACAGAAGTCAAAGAGTTACGTGTAAGCACTGAAGTGTATAGTATAAAAATTCATCAACAATACATCAACGGACATCATTTAAGATGGCAGTCAATGGTGCTAAATTTTTTTCACAATTTATAGACTGCATCACATTGTATATAAAAACTCAACCCACATAGTAAGAGTAAGAGTACATTAAAAGTATACCTTTATACAGTGCTGTAGTGGTAAAATTAGAGGTGGGTAAACTCTGAATGTTGTGATCATACAGACCTCGACGCAATGTGAAGCAACGCAACACAAAGCGTTACGGCTCTGTAAGGCTGTCCTGGCTATATTGCATTATGTTATCAGTAATGCAATATGGATCCTGATTGGTCGCTGCTGCAGCCGCAAGGCACTGATTGGATGCTCACAGACCGTAATACAGCGCAGATGAACATGATTCAGACTACGGCGTTTATATGTTAAACAATAGGAAACGTAGTCTTAGCTGTTTTAAAATTACACCAAGTTTATTTCGGATTATTCCAACGGAAGAATACAAGGCGCAGGTAACTTTGAGGTGCGTAAACGCTATTTATAGGTGCGTAAACGCTATTTCCAAAATTCCAGAGGTGCGTAAACGGCGTTTACGTGCGTTTACCCTCCACTACAGCCCTGCCTTTATACTTCCAGCACAAAGTATCCAAATAATCTTATTTTTTAGATAATTTGCAGTCTGTTGTGCAACACGGATCGAATATTGTTTCTCAAACACAACTTAGATTTTGGTTCCCACTCGCTGAAGCGGTGTGATCTTCTACCGAAGGACAAAACAAACCAAATGACACTTTCACTGTTAAAACAAGGGAGGCTACAATGAGCTCATGTTGTGGCTTATTGATCGGACACACCTTTTTCAAAAATGGCGGCCATTTTAAACTGTCATTGCTCCGCACCATTACCGGTGCTGCTAAATGACCCATTAAGTAAGCTTGTCACCAGCGTTACATAAACCGCCCAGTCTTTTTCGCTTGTTGGTTTTTATTTACCACTTTAAGGATAAATAATGTGTTTCCCCTCCCTAAACCAAAGAGAGGACGTATTGTTGTTGTTGTTGTGGGCCTCAAGGCGAGTTTCCTGTCCTGTTCCTGCTGGTCTGAGACATGGATGTAGCTCTGGGACTGCAGCTCCTCTCACTTAAAGGACTTCCTTGCTGCCTGAGATGCCGAAGGAGGCGACCGTCTTCCACTTCAACTGGCTAAGTACCTTAAATCACTGCTAACCGCGTGTTTCTGTGCGCACCCGTCTGCAGCTTGCTGCTAATGCTGCTGTATTAATTCAATACGCTGAAGCAGGTGTGTTCCCCAACACGCCCAATGTTGTTTTTAGCTGAGAGATTAGTGCTGTTGTTTTGAGTGATTATTGTATTATGGAGAGTGTGGGAACATCCAATTTTGGCTTTAGGGGATGTACCCAGTTTTGTGTGTGTGTGTGTGTGTGTGTGTGTGTGTGTGTGTGTGTGTGTGTGTGTGTGTTTGGGAAGGAGTCACATGCTCTAAATAGGGCTCACCTTTGTTTGTGTTTGCTGGTCCTGATGCTGCCAAACATCGACTTTGTATTAAATCCCACCAAACTGTGGACGAATGGTAACTGAGCACTATGGCAACATCTCACCCTCTCTTCACTCGCCACGACAGGAACCACGCTGTTCGTCCAACTCGGTGTCATGCAGACAGGCTTGAGTCTGTGCAGGGTTTGATCGTGTATTGAGCACCAACCTCAGACCCCGCAGCCCTAAAAAAACCGACCGCTCCAAACCCACAGACCCAAGTTGACTTATTGTGTGCCTGATAGAATGCATGTCCATGTATGCATGAAGTGATCCTTGTTAAAAGGCGAGCATATGAAACTGTGAGACTTGTAGCTTGGTCCCCCACCACGTGTGTATGTGCGTGCGTGCCCGGAGGATGTAGCTGTGCTACGGGATGAGACGCCTTTATACGAGGCTCAGCCTGTTTAACATGTCTGTCTTTTTCTCTGTCTCTTTACCACATGTCAGCGTGAACATGAAGTGGGTTTGGTACCTGCTGGAGGTTTTCTTTAGGATGAATATGGTCCCTAATGACTCACATTTGTTTAAGCTCCGTCTGTTTGTCGCGTGGCTGGTCTGCTGTGGGATTTCTCTGACCCAGGAGTTCCCTTATTAAATAAACGCTCCATTTATTTTTGCCAATGTGTACATCTTTGAAAATCAATCAACGCTGGTTTTATAACATGATTTCTTTCATCCTTGATCTTGAGCGAGTTCCCCCGGTTTAATGTCTAATCTGATCATCTGAGCAGCGTGTTTGGAGGACCCGTGTTATTAAGTGGTGTCTTAAAAGCCCCCGGTTCTGGCCCTCTCCGCTTCATCGTCCCGTGGACACACACACACACACAAGCGCACACAACGTTTGGCCCGGAGTGGCCGTATGTCTTTTTCGACCGGTACAGCCAGAGATAAATGTAGACACACAACCTTGTCCAGTGAGCAACGTAACTGAGCTCTTAACTGCTCGGGGCTGGCTAACGTAAACATTGTGTGAGTGTGTCCTTTTAAGCTGCTTTTATTGTCCAGCTGCTTCTCAACCTCTGGGTGTAAATTGTTTGAGAGGTTTGGATGGAAGGAGGAGAGAAGAGGGGGGGGAACAAGAGGTAAGGGGGTGGTTAATGTGGTGGTATGAAGTGAGTGGATGGGATATCCTCTGAAGTACAGTGGGATCATTTATGGAAGTTTCCATTTGTGTGTGTGTGTGTGTGTGTGTGTGTGTCTCGGAATTGTGCACTTGTGTCATTAAAGCAGAGGCATCACAAAGTTCAGAGAAACAAAATGTTTATTGAAAGATCTTCCCAGACCACTTAGCATCAATTTGTTATTGTCTCGAGGCCAGGCGCGAGTTTGAGGAGCAAAAAGGAAATGTGAAGGAAAACGCGTCATGTTCACGCGGATCGCTCAGGAAACCTGATATGCAAATGAAGGAAGAAGTACAAATTTGCCGCGTGTCCCTGGATCTGTGCAGTTTGTTTCCTACGACGGGATCGGAGACGTGTTGTGACCCACAGGTGGGTCGCTGGACATTATTTTTACGGTTGCCTAATACATTTGCAGAGATTCTTTTTTTTAATCTATTATATCTCCACACAACATTGAGTGACATGAAGGACCCTGAATGTTTGTATTGTTGTGATAATTGTTGCTTTTTTATGAAAAAGGAGCGCTTCTTAACCGCATTGAGTTTACCTAATTTACAACATGAAATATAGTTGTGATTTCTATCTAAATCTCCTTTAAATAGCTGGTTTATTTATTCAAGGTAACACAAGGTGATGATGAAATGGCAGAAATACCAGCCAGCAACATGTCATTATGTTCTGACGATTTATACATAAGAATGTGTTTTAAATGAAGATAGTTGGGTTATTTGTTATTTTGAAAAGTTGGTTCCCCAGGAAAAAAACAACCCCTTAAGCTCATCTGTGAGTGTCTTAGTCCATAAATGACCTCCATCCATTGACACGAAGGTTGACTTAATGTTTACTTTCAAGCCTTTTATGGAGCTTTTTCCTCCCTCGCTGTGGATTAAGTTTAAACGTACAGCTTTGGTATATAACGGCATGCTTTTGCATTTGCGGCAGTGCAGACGAGGACGATGC